TTCTGACCGCCTCCTCAGCGCCGTGCAAGCTGTTGCACGAGCAGTTGCAGGAAGTATACGGTGCATCTTTTCTGATCGCCGTATACTTGCGCCGCGCCGGCGCAGCCGTGTTACTTGGCAGGAGTGAAGGAGTCAGCAGCCGATTTGCGAAGAAAACTACTCGGATTGACACATGCGTGTTTGTAGTAATTCTAGCACTCAGTTCGCAAATAGTGTAAACCGTTTGGAGGTGGTTGGATTCTTTTGTTTTCCCTTCAAGGATTACCAAAAAGGGTCCCTTTATTTTGACATCAGTTCGCATGTTGTCCCATGCTAGCCCCCTAGCTCATTCACATTCCTTGGAAGTCCAGATTCACTTGCCACGAAATACGTAGGTCTCAGAATAGGGGTACCCCTGGCCTTGGAAACCATGGGGATTGAATCAAGTACGATGGGTCTCTAAGCAGCTATAATCAAACATACGTGAGACAAGTACCAAGCATTGAAATGGGAAATTGCAGGTAGCTGAATTGCACGAGGTTTTTGAATCCACATGTGTTGTGATTGGTACCATGGAAGACTTCATTGATCCAAAGAATAGGTCGCGCTACTACGGGTCCGTGATTTGTGTCCCTACTAGGAGCCACCATTTTTTTATGGGGAACCACCATTGCTGTAAGCATTCGATAACATTTTGAAGGAAGTTGATCACCTCTGGTCGGTGCTTTTTTTGTGGTTTCGCTCTACTGCCACAAAGAAGTTTGTCAGAATACAAAGTCTCCTGTGTGGTTGGTTTTTTGAAAAACGAGGCTCCCGACATCGGGAATTTTGCAGGGCACCTTGCTGTCAACGTTGGCTTACCTCATGTTGAAATGACTGATTTTTGAAAATGCTCGACCTGCTCAAAGCCTCACATCAGGCATGAGTCAACTGGCATACTTCAACAGCATCACAAAAACACCGCACAGCACACACACACACACACACGCACACGCAAGGTCTACCTAAAGGCTCATCGCCACACACATCACATCACAGCACACGCGCAGCCTCGCAAGTTTTGTTTGGTTCTGCTTTTGCTGGGTGCGGCTTTTCTGCCCGCCTGGCAACTTGCTTGGCGCGGCTTTTCTGCCCGCCTGGCAACTGCAGTAGCCTAGGCGCGGCTTTTCTGCCCGCCTGGCGTCGCCATGGCTGCGCCGAATCCGGCATTTGTGTTGCTGGCAGACCTTCTGCGAGACTCGGTGTCCGACCTGCCTTCTTGGATTGGCTTTTACGCCGGTGGCAAAACGGACGTTTGCCACCCGAGATGGGACTCGGATTTTGACGGGGCCAAGGCCGATCGGGATGGCTTGACCGAGGCTTTAGCTTCCACTACAGTGGTGGTGCCGGCGTTGCTGCTCTGGCTTGATGACTTCATGACTGCACACAGGGTGCACAGCTGCTGGAAGCACACGCTGGACGGTGGCTGTCTCTGGCATCAGTTCGAGCAGGGTGGCGACAATTATTTGTTCAACGCCATGTGGGCCTTGACTTTGACTGTGGTGTGCTGGCTGCGCCACGTGTGCAAAGGCAAGAAAGTGCCACAGGTCCGGCTGATTTGTCTTTGCAATGCTGGCAAGCATCGCAGCGTGTTCTCTTCGCGGATGCTATACTTTGTGCTCCAGCTTCTTTACGACCTGCTGGGGATCCAGCAGCGAAGGTTTACTTGGCAGTGGGCCGCGGAGCGGCGAGTGCAAGCGGAGCTGAGCGAAGCAGCTCAATGCCGCGACAACAAGGCGGCGAAAGTCTGCTTCCGACAGGCGGACCTGGTGGTGTCGCGCACCCGACGGATGTTCCTTGGCGGCCGAGTTCCGGCGCACTTGCACAGCGTGCAGCTGTTGGACAAGGACCTTCGAGAGACGTCCACGACTGTATCCGCTGGCTACAGCGATATTTGCCTCGACACGCGCAAGTTCATCCAAGCGGCTGCCGCCGAGCGCGGCACGCCCCTCAGAAAAGCTTGGCTGGCAGACTGGCTGGAAGGCGCCGGCCTCGCTGCCCTTACCGCTCAAGGCCGCGCTGTACTTCAGCAAGCTTCCCGCGTGCGTATGGCCCGCCACTGGTGCCCTATCATGCGCGCTCTGCAGCAAGCTTTCCCGGAGCGCTGTGGCTTGTGCGCCTGTCCCTTTCAGCTCAGCACGCCTTGGGACACGCTTGCAGCGGAAATACACGAGCACTTCATTTCTACTGGGGATGGTGCGTCTTTTCTGACCACCTCCCCGGAAGCAGCGTCTGTTGCGGCTTTTTTGAACGCTTCCCCAAGAGCAGCCTCTGGCAGTGGTGCGGCTTTTCTGCCCGCCGCTGCCGGGGAAGGTGCGTCTTTTCTGACCGCCTCCCCGAAAGCAGCCACGACTCGCAGACCTGCGTGGGCTGACGTGCAGGACGACTCTGCCCACGCCGCGGCTGCGCCCAGCGCCAAGAAAAAGAAAAGGGTGTCCTTCGCGCCAGAGGTGGCCCAATCTGCCGCGGCCGACGTGGAGGACACCGCGCTGTGCTTGGTGCTGCCTTGCGATGCCCCACTAGGCGTGCTCTTTCAGCCAGGTGCGCAGACGCTGTCTCGGCGCGGGGTGGACTGCTTGCTTGACGTTACTTCGGACGCGACCTTGCTTTCGTTCCGGGTCATACAGAGCGCGGAGGACGCTCAAGGCTTGATTGCCTACGCTAGCGAGTTGCTGGCATCTAGTCGGGAGTTGCAGCAAGAGCTTGCAGCGCTGCAGCGTATGCTTGTTGCCGCGGAGGTTTTTCCGGAGTTGCCTCTTGGTGGTATGCCGGCCATGGCGCTCTTCCAGTGTCTGGTCTTCCTTTACATGTGGTCGGTGCTCACCTTGAATTATTCATTTTTGCTGTCCAGCACCTTCTTAAGACTGGTGGCTTTGCCGCTGCAGGAGGCGAAAAATTTTGATATCTTGGCCGTGGTGCACAAGTACTGCTACGTCACGTGGCTCCACCGGACGGCGCGTCCGAGCTGCTGGCAAGGCAACGCTCTCCGCTTATTGCTGCCAGACACTGCCGACTGGGAGGCTTGGTGGGCGGCGCAGCAGGACGTGGCGCACGAAATTGATGAGACTGCCTTCTCGGAAGAGTACGCGCTTATGTGCAGGGATCCTTTGATCCCCGAGGGCTACCGGGCAGACTTGAAGCAGGTGCGGCGCCATGTGGCTGCTTCCGATCTCGGCTTGCTGCCGGAGCTTCCGCCGCGGCAGTCCTTTATGGAGCACGATGTTTACTTGGAGGCAAGCGGCGCTTTGCCCTTGCCGAGAGCCTTGCCGGCCATTCGATGCTCGGCCGGGGCGATGGAGGTGAACTGGGGCGACAACACTGGTGAGCCCCTAAACACTTCGCGGGACAATGTGATCTCCGAGACGGATGTCTGCTTGCAAGTCCCGTTGCCGGTGCCTGCAGATATGACTTTGGGGCACGTCCTGCTTTCAAGGGACTGGCGAGCCTCTTTCGAGCAATCCAATCTCGGCATGCCTTGGTGGATGTCAGACGCAGGCGGCTTTTCTGCCCCTGCTGCTGGCCACGCAGGCGGCTTTTCTGCCCCTGTCTCAGCCCTTGGAGCGCAAATCCACTTGCAAGCTTTGGGAGCTGAAATCATGGCCACGCTGAGGCCCGACAGTGTGATGCATCCACACTTGCGAGCACACGTGGAGCTCATGCTGGGCATGTGTGCTTCCGTGCACTTGGCGCGCCAGGAGGCTTGGGATGTTGCCTTGTATGACTTTCTTTTAGGCTGCGGCATCAGAGCGCAGCGCACGCGTCCTGGCGATGCCGATGCCGGCTGGGTGGCGCATAACTACCGCAAGAGGCACCACGCTGCCCGCTCTGTGGTGCGACCCGTTTGCTGCACCATGTGGGGTGAAAAGTATCGCCCCATTGGATACTTAAACGATGCGGGGGACATCGAGCACTACTTGGTGCACGACACATGCCCTCTTGGAAGATGTCGCAGGCACAAGCAGCTTATGGGCTTTGGCACCGTGTGCCCACACTGGCATGGCTTCAACAAAAAACACGGCATCATGGCCACTCTGAACGCGCAGCGATACTTGAGGTACACGGAGATCGGAAGCAAAGGGGCTGACCCGCGCGCGCGAGACCAGCGGGCCAGCCAGTATCTTCGCACGCTTTTGCAGGAGTTAGGCTTTGTGGCCCGTGCGGACGAAAGAGCAGCAGACGGCGATGACCGCGTGATGCTCATAGGCCTTCCCCGCTGGCTCCCTGAGTTTCACAGCAACGAAGGCCAAGACATACCCGGCTTGGTTGCCTTTACTCCGCTGCACGCCAAAAAACACTTCGAGCAAAATGACATTGACGAGTGTCTCCAGCTTCGCACCGCGGCGCAAGAGGTGCACGATGACCTTGAACGCTTGACAAGACAGCGCTGAATGCGCTTGAGATGCGCCAGGGTGCGTCTTTTCTGACCGCCCGGCGCTTGCCAGGCCGTGTGCCTTGCAGTGTGCCTTGCCTGGCAGCATGCGTCTTTTCTGACCGTGCTGCCTTGAACAGAGACAAAGTGAATCTGCCCGCATAAAAAGGAAAAAGAGCCGGTGGGACAACGGGCGGGCGGATGGTAACAAAGGGTAAATGATGGAGGCTTAAGACTTGTCAAACATTTGCGGTCAGGCAGGCTCCCTGTCAGCCAGGTTTTCTTTCCAGTTTTTGTCCGGGCGGTGGAATAGTTGCCTGTGAAGACATGACCTGTTGATTTCTTTTGTGACCGTTTGGCCATGTTCGTCACAAACAAAACATGATTGGTTTTCAATTTGGCCCCAAACATGTTTGCCCTGGTTGTTCAAGCCTCCTATAGTGGCTCTTTTTTAGAAACTTCCGCCACCGCCTTGCGCGGTACTACTTGTACCCAATATGAACCAGAACATGTTGGAGTGCTGTGTACTCCAGATGTGGCAGATGACAGGCCCTTTGCACCAACCCACTCTGTGGTAAGTAATTTGTTGTTGTTACCACCCGAATGCTGACGGATGAGTCAGCCCCGCGATCCGGACATCTATTTTTCACCTTGCCTAGAGGGCTTATGAAAAAGTACCCTCCTTCCTAACATGGCACCTGACAGAGGGTCCCTTGAAGGGAATCGATCTTCCAGCTAGCCTCCCATGCTATGTCAGTGGGAGGAGGGGTGTTTTCCATGCGGGTGGGGCGTGTATCAAGCTGATTCAGCCGGTCAGGCCTTGGAGCTCCGGCAGTCGGGTGGCTTCCAAAGGCGAAGTCGGGAGCTGGGGGCGGAGTCTGGTGGCTAGTGAGTTGGTTGGCTGGTTGAGTGGTGGCAACCGCCAAAAAGGATGCGATGTTTCCCACTACATGGGAAAGTTGCCCATGCCAACTTGAGATCAAGGAATATTGGTCAAGCCCCACATGCAACATCCGGTGGCTTGACAGGTAAAGGATGAGGTAGGGTGCGAATTTTGGGGCGTGTCAAGGGAGAACACCGTGGAAACGCTTTTTAGTCGTATGAATTTTAACAGAGAACCCCCTTCACAAGTGGTTGGAGGAAGCCCACTGAAAAACTGGCTTGTGGTTAGCTTTTTCCTTTCAACACCTAGGGAATCAAGCATCTTTCCCTAGAGCTTGTGGGAATCCGGGAACGGGGTGGACCGTGCCCAGCTAAAAATCCACCAACCTTAAGACTTTTAAAGTGCGCCCAGATTGGCTTCCCTTGTGAGCAAGATGTTCTTCAAGGGCCAATTGTTTTGGTGTGGACTCGTCAAAAAACGTCAGGCAGGTTTGGGTAGATCCTAAGCACCTGGCGAGTACCCCCCCCGCACAGCAGACCCGTCGGTTTTGTAGACCCCCAAGCACCAGTGTAATTCTCTACGAAGACCCCTACCAGGTTTTCATTCGTTTACATTGGTTTGGGCAGACCAGGTCCACCTGGCTACCAGGTTTACAACTCAGTCCTGAGGCACCTCGTTACACAATGTGCGCCGCACATGGCCGCTTCGCGCGGCGCGAGCCAGGCTGCCGCGGGAGGTGCTGGGCGGCTTCTTCGGGGAGATGGGCTCCGCAGGGGCCCTTGAGTCGCTTTGGAGTCGGGTGCGGATGTGTCCGCACCCTTGGGCGGAGGTTGTGAAAATGGCAGGCTCGCTTGTTGGGGTCCACATAAGGCGGCACATGTGTTTTGCATCAGGGTCCAAAATGGTGTGCACGGATTGGACGTTCATGGATCCCTTTTTATCGGCCAACAGGAAGCCGGCGTGCCACACGCCGAACGAAGCCTCTATCTTTCTTTGACGAAGTCAGGTGGCGCGAACGTCGAACGGAAGCGACCTGACAGTCCTTTGTTGCTGTTTGGTTGACTTTTTGGTTGAAGGAGTGTTTTCCCATCTCACAACATATTAAACTTTTTGCAGGGGGTCGTTACAGTAACCAGCAGTCAAGCAAAAGCAAGTTAGGACGACCATTGAGGAGGTCCTCCCGTCCAAGAAAAACGCCGTGCAGAAATATGTCTCGATGGAAGTAGAGTGGCAGTTGAGGGACTTGACAAATGACTCTTTAACTAAAAGGGCTTTGTGAATTCCAAGTAGCCCCATTGTTTTGGCGCGTTTCCAAGTGCCAAAAGAGGACGTTTGTGTTTTTTTTTGTTTTCCCTGGCCCTCTTCCAGGCACCTGGCTTGGATTTTTTGGGATGTCCTGGAGCATGAAGACATGGGCTGGGACAAACGCGCATCGATCAACTCCGGGCTCCATGACCAGCGCACAGGGGTCCGTCTCAACATGGCAACTTCTTGCTCAGCAATTTTCTTTCCGCGCTGCGGCCTTCAAACGGCAACGTCACTAGTTGCGTGGGAGGTATTGTGGCTGAACAAAAATACGGCGAGTGGCTGGCTCACGGGAAAAAGGCGACTGATCCGCATTGAATCTCTGAGAGTCGAGAGAGCTTCGGTGAATTCGGCGCCATGACGTGCAAAGTCTATGCACATGTGGATGTTGCGGGGCACCCCAGCTTCGCGCTGCCCATCCAAGTGGGTCGGCCGGAGGACAGATGCGATCGCGATGCCGTCGGGCGAGGGTCTGTGTCGAGTCGAGGAAGATTGGGTTTGTATTTAACTCAAACCAAAAGTTATTATGATGATGATGATGATGATTATTATTATTATTTGAATAAGAACCAGCTTCTCTGGTTGACGCAAATCGAAGGTTCCCTGCACAAGCCAACACACACCTCGGATCCGATGAAGTTCTGCTCCCTTCGGAAAGGTGGTCGAGTCGGTCGGCTAAGCCGTGCCTTCACACCGCAAGAAGGCCAGTGCCCCTGAACTTCACGCACCAGCCCGCCCTGACGCCCCAAATCCAGCCCAACCAATCCATCCACAAGCCAACGGAACACTAACTAATCGATCCAGCCGAAACTCTCAACCACCATCGATCCCAACTCCTTCCCCGGAGCCCATGAAATCAAGCCGACACCGGCGCAAGGCACCCGTGGATCAACCCAAAACCAATGCCCAGCGGACCCTGAAACCACTGATTCAATGCAAATCCACCTGAAGCCCATCCTAAACTTAGGCCAGCCACCCCACGTTTTTGCCAAGCGCAGCTCAACGCTAAACCAACACTGAACCCAAGCCCTGCGCACCCACTCTGGGCAGGGCCCACTCCCGAGACCCCTGAACACCCCCCTTTTGGCAAACCAGACTCGCATGGGGCGATGAAGAAAACCCGGGGATTTCCCAAGTGGTTTGCAGCCCTATTCAGAATCCCATGATTACACAATGGTGAATGTTTGTATGCGAGTGGGCACATGATCAGGGTTACTAAGCACTTGCAAACCTTGCCCCTGGGACTCATGACTTGCTGTTCCGATTCAGATCCGTAGCGGTTCGGGGAGCCATAGCAGCCCAGTCCATAAACCATTGCATCCTGTCGCTCACAAGTAATTGTGTATGTGTCAAGATAGTTCGGAAGCCCAACATGTTCCTTTCGGTTCTGCCACATGTGGCACCAGGGTTGTGGGATCACTCGGGGTTTATCCCCACTTCTGCGAGACAAGTTGGACTCCCCTCTTTAAATGGGGGGGGGGTAATCTTTGGGAGGCCATTTGCGTTGCACAGATCTGTGGGTTCCATTTCAACCACAGCCCTGTTTGACACCGAGAAACGGACGCCGGATCGGAGGAGACCCAGTTCGGCACCCTGAAGCAGGCGCTGCTGGACTTCGCGCGGAAGAGCGGGGATGTGGACGCCGAGGGCGAGATGGCCTACGAGAAGCTGTGCTTCTGGAACCAGGCGTTGGGATGTTTTTTTTTTTTTTTTTGTTTTGCGGGGGGGGGGGGGGGGGGGGGAAGAACAAGGATTTGCCCAAGTTTGGTGGTCTTCTGCCGTGCCAAGAAGTTGAATCGCCCGACCCGGGGCTGGATGTGTTGTGTTGAAGCACACCCACCTGGCTATGCATTTTGATAGGGAACCACCTCAAGAGTCTTTGGTGTTGCCTATATAACTGAAGTCCACCCAAAGCTCCCAAATTAGAATTCCAATTTTTGATTTCCATGTGGTTGGTGGACATAGTTCCACACCTACTTGATGTCCAGCCAAAGGTGTGTAATTCAAATCTCACGCCCATCTCACCGCGTCCTTTACCCAACTGAAGTCCACCCAAAGCTCCCTGGAGAAAAGAACAAATCCGCACCCACCGATTCGGGGAGCTCCGCGCAGGACCTGTGCCCCATCCCGGACCGTTCCCCGGTGGCCGCCTTCGCGTGGGAGCACAACGACTTCTTCCTGCGGCCCCTGCCACGGAACGCGGACGGCTCCGCCGGCGCGCTGACGCTCGGAGCGTTTTTTTTTTTTTTGCGCGCGAGGAGTTGATTGAGGTCCCAAACGCCAAGACACAGATGGGTGGCTCGTCTTTTTTTGATTTTTTGGATGGTTTTAACGTGAAGCCAAAGGGAAAACCACCCTCTGTTGGGGTCTAAAACAAGACAAAGGAGATTCGTTTCAAGACTTTTTCCCAAAGATCAGGGTTTGATTGTGCATCTCTGTTTTGAGGTCCCGCAAGCTATTTTGTGATGTTTTTCATTTGGTTTTGACACCTCTTTGGAACCAGCGACCCAAGATGACACCGAAAGTGATCCAAACGCGTCTTGTCCACCTCAAAGGTCCCCCCTCTGAAAGGGTTTGTGAGGGAAGCCAAAGCGCGTCCCGACCCAAACCAAAGTGAGTCCCGACCCCAGCCCATGAATCCACCCCCTCGGTTTTCTGGGCGTCTCCCCTTCGGAGCAGCAGGATCCAGGGAAGTTACGAAGCGCTTATTTTATGAGGCTCGGTGCTTTTCTGGCCTGTTTACAAGGAAACCAAGTGACCCCCCAAATGGAGCCTATTTTGAGACAGCTGCCTTGACATCTTCTGAAATTCTTTGATGACACGACTTAGTTGGATTGACATGGGATTTCGATCGAGATGGCAAGTTTTTTTTGGCGGTCTGCAGTCCAGTTTGGGGTTCGGAACTCACCTTTTATGACAAACATCCTTTCCACTCGGGTGCTCCGCCCGATTTTCTCACCGTGTGGCTGGAAGGCGATAAAATGTTTGACTGGGGCAGCGAAGGCCCACGAACCATCAACTTCCGGCCGGCCGAATGGCGCCAAGTGGGTGCGTTTTTTCCCCTTTTTTCTCGGGACTCCGGGACTCTAGAAAAGCGGACCCACCCAGATCTTGGAGTCATCTAGCCTCCATCTACCCGCTGGGTTCAAAGTCAATCCAGGAAGGCGAGCAGAGAGAAGCGCGGGGAGCTCTCCTACTACTACGCCCACAACCGGGACAGAGGCGCGCGTCGCGTCGGTCGTGGGAGGCTGGGGCTCACGTAAATGAGCCACAATCAAAACCCGGGCCATAGCTGCGGCTATCCGCCTTCTTAATTCTTTACAAGACCATGTTAAAGCCGGGTTTTGATTTTGACTCAATGACGCTCGCCAAAGAGTCCCTAAGCAAGTATCGCGCGGATTCTCGCCGCATGCTGACCCTGTAGGTGACTTTTTTAGGTTAGTTTGGCTAGAAATAGATGGGTTCCGCTGGTGTAGAATAGTTTTATAAACCTAACCCATCAATTTTTCCAAAAGAACAATATGGCTGACCCGTTGATTCATACTCACCCTCCCGCACCCGAGCCTAGCAGTTGTCAATCAGGGGATCTCGTTCCTCAACCAGGGCCATCTATTTTATACCAAACTTGCTGGTGCTCAGCAGGGAATGAGGGAATGACCCCTATAAGCAATCCTTTGTGGTTTCCTTTTAGGGGACCCCCAGTTCATTCCATTTCTCATACTTTTCTTATCGATCACAAAGACCCCTGGGTCAGCATGCAGCATGAGATTCCTGGTGGTTCAAATCATTTGCTTCGATGGCCGAGATGTGGTTGGGTATGGAGCACGTTCCGAATCACATCCTTCCGGTTGACCGAATTCTATACCCAATATTGAATCTACTACATACGACCTCCATGTTGAATCACTGCGTGTGTGAAAAAGTTCATGGTTTTGAATTGGGGGTTCCATTTTGTTTCAGGTTTGAGCAGATCTGCGTGGTTGAATTGACCTTTTGGTCTCCGGAAGTTGCAGACCTTTTCCGACTTCCGAGGTGCCTTCATCGCCAAGCCCCAGGCCACTTCGCAGGTGGAGCGGAAGCCTGAGCCCATCAAGGCCTTGATATGGGACGCGCGGGCCATGGTGTTTTTTTCTTCGCGGATTTGCGCGGGGGAGGTCTGAGGTCTGAGCTCCCAGAGGGCTGAACTGGGGGTTGACTAGGGAGGTCTCACCTCCGGCTATACTTCTGTATCCAGTTATGGCGATGAGCAGATGGAAGCAAAGCTGTGATTGTCACGGTGTTGAGGGGAATCCTCTTCGTGAGGAAGCCCGCTAAATGGGTCAGGGTACTTCGGCGGCGGTTAGTATCCCTGCAAGCAGTGCCAACCCAGGATAAATAAACCCGTAGTTGTTCGATAAGGCTGGTTTTAGTGGGGGTTCATCGCTTTTAGAGGGGTCCCCGCCCCCATGTTAATAAGCAAGTCTTACGGACAAACCAGGGTCAACATTACCACCTCAAGCTTCAAAGTGGGATACCGTGGGAATTTTCTGTTCCGCGCAGCCCACCAGGCGGGATAGACCGCCCCCCTCCTGATGGCCCCGATTTGGCCACTAGAAGAAAATCAAGCACCTGTACCCTTCCCCAGACTAAGATGGAACCATGCTTAACAATGGATCCCCACCCACCCACTCCACCCCACCCCACTCCACTCCACCCCACCCCCGTGATAGGTGCCGGTGGAGACTTCCACTCGGTTCAACCCCAAGCAGTCGCCCTTCGGAACGGACATCACCAAGTGCCGCATCGAGAGTGTCCGGCCCCGGGGCTTCCGCTGCTTCTTTTTGGATCGGGGAAAGTTGGGGGCCTAGCAGCTTTCTTCAGGGAGATTTGGAGACAGGTGGGCCCAGCAGCTTTCTACAGGGCGGGTTTGGGTGGGACATCTGGAGACAGGTGGAATTTTGGGAGGGGTTCCGTTTCCATTTCCGGTTTTCTGGTTTTCCCTTTTGTTGCCTTCCTGATCTTCAGAAGGGAAACCAACACGACAGCAACGCCCAGAATATCCTGCCAGACTTCGCAAAAGCTTGTCCACCTGCATTTTCCTCAAGATCCGTGCCCTTTCTCCTGGTTTCCCCCTTTCTTTTGTTTTTTCCCCAAGGACCGCGCTTTTTCCCCTCATTGTCCCTGTTTTTTTCTCCAGGTACGAGACGTTGAGCTCATACACCTGGGAGGACTCGGATGAGACGGTGAAGGCGGATTGGGATCACTCTTTTCTGGCGTATACCGCCCGTATTTGTGCAACAACATGTTGACAAAACCCGCCCGTGTGACTGTGTGGCCATTTTGTGGTGGACCAAGCTGTGAGAGAACAAAACGTCACATGTGGGTTTCCAGGTGGTTTCAAAGGCATTCAACGAGGCGAGAGCTTGGAAGTGACTCAGTTCAGAAAGGTCTCTACGACCATAGCCTTTGAGGGTACCCGGTTGCGGTAGGGATCTTGGTTTGAAGGGTTTTTTGAGGATACTTTCCGAGGGTTTTTTGGTTTGAAGGTTTTTTTTTGAGGATGCTTTTGAGGGTTTTTGGGTTTGAATGGTTGATTTGAGGCGAGGCAAGTTGAGGAAGGTGTTTGAGGGAAATCCTTGGCGTGTTTTTTGGAGGCTCGGGAAATGGGTGGGTTGAAACGGACACCAGAAGGAAAGCCAAAGCCTTGATCGGATCGATAATCCCTTTGGTTTTAGCACAATGCTTACAGGTTGGACATAGAAGGAATGTTCAAAGCGGACATGGTCATAACCCCTTGGTGCATGTGCTTTCCAAGGTTTCCCCGCTTGCAACATTTGTTTTGGGCGCAAGGCCTATGCTTGCACCTTCAGCCCAGCTAGTAGGCTGGGACACGGTCTTTAAGGGAGCCAAACCTGTTGTCAACCACTTGTAGCCAATGCAACCCACCTACTTACCCAAAGAACCAACATAGTTTTGGAGGAGAACCCCAGTATCCCCTACTAACCTTCAGTTGCCCCAGTTCATTGTGGCGTCGCATCGGTGGGTATATGAACGCTTGAACTGGATTGGGTCCGGCCGCATGGCGCAGGTGCTGGTGCAGATGGACGGTGTGGGCAAACTCAACCCCGAGCAGGCTGGGTTGGGCGACTTTTTAGCCCCTATACTTTAAACTCCTGGCGGTGTCTCACGTTTTTCCTTTTTTTTTGTTTGGGGGGGGAGTGGAGGTAATTCCGTTATGGCTGGGGATTCTGAATGGATGCCTTTGGTTTCCCTCAAAACCCCGAAAAGGGATACTCGGATACTCCCCCAAAGCTGGTGCTCGTTTTGGCTTCCTTTTTGGGGGGCCGCAGGTTTCCCCCAGACCCTGGGCGTGACACCCGACCACACAATCTCCCTTTGGGCGGGCTGGAAAGACAGCCCAAGATTCTCAAACCAGAAGCTGGATCTTCAACGTCGGCTGGCATTTGGTACGCTATGCGGTGGAAATCCACAGGTTGTGGGCTGAATTTTTCTTGTGCTCTGCTGGGACAAGCTGTTGCTCCACTCTGAGACTTTCCGCGGAGCTCTGGCCTAAAAGGTGAGATCCAGCTTTGGGGAGCGCTCCTTCGAGCTGCTGGTGGACGGCCTGCAGGGCAGGACTCGAGTGGGGGCCGGGGGCGAGTCGGGGGGCGGTGTCCGGCTTGGGATGTGGTGGCCAAAGTGTTCATAGTGCTTCTTGGATTTTATTTTCCAACATTTTTTTTTCGGCCTTCTTGGTGAGTTTCCCTTGGTAGGGGTGATGTTTCAAGGGGAAGTATGGCGAACCCTAGCTGTTGGTGTGGCTGCAGCCACCAGAAAAGTGGTTGGTGGACATGCATCCTCAGCGAATTCTGATGCATTTTGGGTTCCCCATGAAAAATCATCCGCCATTATCCTTGTGGCTGGTTTCCAGCATCGCCTTTCTTTGGCCATTGAGCTTCCCGCCCTCGTTAAGGAATTGTTCAGGGGTTGATTCCTGTATTTCCCCTAGACGTTCTTTTGACATGTGTCTCGCAGGTTCGAGCCAAGGGATTTTTGGTTCAAGCGGTTGCTCATGAATGAGCCAATCGAACCAATTGAAGGATTGCCCCTTTCAGCCGCGCAAGAAAAAGGAACTCTCGACAACAAGGATACTTTCATTTGGGGGCTGTTCAAAAAGCAAGTAAGAGGATGGAGCCTGACCTGTTCGGAAGATGGCGCTGATGACTCGTGTTCGTTTGCAAGTTCTCAGGACATTTCATCCTTGTGCAAGTACTCTTCCAGCGAACCCTTTTCCTTCATGTCACCAACAGAATACATTGGAGCCTGCCCCAAGTGAGGAAGAGCCCCTCTGCTTGGAGCCTTGGAACCAATCAGATGGTTGGTCTAAGCTTCCTTCCTGGCCGGGGGGATTCTGTTCCACTTTCTGAGCCAGTGCTTGTGCTCCTTGGCTGGAAATTGATATCGCATGCTGCTAGGAGATGGGTGTGTGGTTCTTAAGGGCGGTGGTTTTTTAGAGATGTTTACTTTCAATGGAACCGGCCGGAAATCCATGGGCCCGCTATTGTGACAGACAAAAGGACACTGAGCAGAAGCTAGAAAAGACCAAAGAGGAGCCTGTTGCCAATCCCCTTCCTTCACCCTCTAGGTAGGGATGCCTTCAAGCCACGGCCTACAAACAAATCCTGTCATCAAGGGCTTGCCAGCTTTTCAAGCCGAAAGGAATATGGCGGCCGCAACCGGGGTTGCGGCCGGGATCTAGCGGGTAACCCTTCAGTCAGAGGTGGGTGGGATGTGGGTCTGTGTCAAAATGAACCCAGGACTTCTGGCCGCAGGTTTTTTCGTCCTCAGTCATGCGCTGGACCCCAACAACCACGTGGGCGGGTTCCCCGAGGTTTTCGCCGCCGGAAAGCCGCGGGTCCAAGTTCCGCAGGAATCTGCGGTTCGCCTGCTACAAGACCCACGGGGAGATGAAGCCTGAGGAGTGCAAGCACGTGGTCCGCGCCAACCGGGTGAACCTGATCCTCCGCAAGGCGCACGCTTTTTTTGGGTGGGTGGGTGGGTGGTGGGTGGCTGGTGGTGGTGGTGGTGGTGGTGGGGGTGGTGGTGGGGGTGGGTCCTGAAGGGAATGCAAGTGCCACGTCAGTTTAGTGTGTTGGCCACGTGGATGGAGAAAGTCCATTTCGCACTACTTGGCAAGTGGCGCTTCCCATGTTTATCCCACAATTCATGGTTTCTCATGTTTCGTGCATCCCAACTGGCGCGACATGGATTTCGTCCATCCACAGATTGCTCCGGTTGACCTGAGACCAGTTCAAGTCCTCCCTCGGGTTTGACACGGCCATGCGACTGTCCTTTGTTGACGGACCCACTGTTTTGGTCGGTTTAGGGAAACCAACCAGAAGCCAATTTTGGGAGGCCCCGAGTTTGGAGACCAAGCCGTGTTTCTCTTAAGATTCGGGCTTTTGGGCTCGGTCTCCTGAAACTGACCCATGTGGCTGTGGCTCAAAACCGGAATTCCAAAATGGCTTGCCCTGGTAAGTGGAATGGACCAAAACCTGCGGCTTGCCCCTGTTTCATTTTGAGCCACATCCATGTCGGAGGCGAAGGACAAGGACCACTGGTTCGACCTCTTTAAGAAGAGGGCCATCGGGGACGATGACGACCCCTAGGCCGTTGGGAGTCTTCGGGCTTGGCGCATGGGTGATTTGGACCCCCCACCCCCCAAAAATCAAAAAACAACAAAGAGGAAAGACATAGACAGAACTAGAATGAACATACATATATATATATATACATATATATATATATATACTTGTTGACAAATGAACATGGTGGCTTTCCTTTCGGTTTGCCTTCAAAGTGCAAAAAATTAACAGGTCCAAAGACCCTTTTGCCTGGGCTTGTGGAATGGACCGACCTGAGGGATTTTGGACCGTTTAGGGCTCCTGGGAAGATAAGTTTGGACCGACAAACAAAATGAGTTTTGACCCCGGCACAAGTTTTGAAAGGAGAGTTGCTTTTGCGAGGATGCCCAAACAAGGTCTTCCCACGAAATGCAAGAATCCCTCCTTGGTTCTAACACCAGGAGAGTCCAACTCGTGTTGGGTCAAAATGTGAGGTTTACAACAGGGGACACGTGGGTGTGCTTTTTTTTTTTTTTTGAGGATACCTCTTTTTAAGAATTTCAACGACCAAAAGAGCACCGCCCATTTTGAGGGTTCCCCTACTTTGAGATACACTCTGACGATACTGGACGAGTTGTAACGAGCTCACCAACGCGGCAATAGCACGACTGGTTTTAGGCTTCCGAAGGTCATTTGCTGCGGGCGCTTATCTTATGGGGAATTACGTGTTTTGCCCAGGTAGATGTGCCATGGTCAGAGCACCCTTTTGCTTGAAGTGTGTGGGGATGGGTCCTCCTAACCCTGTCCACCAAAGGGGTTTTTGGGTGTGCTGTTTTGGGTGTACCCTTCTTGCCTTTTTGGTATACACAAAAGCAAAGCAAGACAACCATTTTGGGGGTTCTCCTATTTTCAAACACGCCCGAAAGGTTGGGATATGCGAGCATCTTCTAACGCGGTGCATACCTTCCAGTTGTATTTTAAGGTGGCCTGTGAATGAGTCCTGGTTGGATGTAAGAGGCGTGTCTGCAACCCCCTGCAAGATCTGGCAGGTACGTTTGGGCCCAAGACTGTGGTCCAAAAGCATGTGGGGAAGTTGAATACCCTCAAGCAAGCGGCCTTTGGCTGCTCTCTGCCCACAAATCGGCTCGTTCGGGGTGGGGCAGCTTTCAGGGAGTATTCAAACAAGAAACTCGGGTCCACTTTGGGGCTGTTGGGTCCCGAATTTTCTTTCTTTTGCTCAGGTCGGGAGTGATGTGAGGGGCAATTCGAGCTTGAAGAGCAGGCTGAACAAAGACTTGAGCGCTCCGAGTGGGGGAAAAGCGCTGCCCGCATTGCTTGTGGTATCTTGCGGCTCAAAACAGGGAGCCTGGCAGAACTGGCCCCAAATGTGGCTCAAAATTAAACAGCTGGGGTTACGCGCAGGTTTTAGTCTTTGTTTCCATTCACCAAAGGGCCATATTGGGTGCATGTTTGTGAGCCACAGCCAAATGGCAGCATGAGATGGCTATGTCGAGTCACTTTTGTCCTTGTCTGCTGGCGTTTGCTTTTGGGAGGTTGCCCTCATCCACCCTTCAGACCCTTGCGAGCGATCAAAGAGACCTCCTCCAGTGAGCGCAAGAGGACGACAGGCTCAGGATGCATTGCCCCTGATTTTGGACTGTTTTCAAGGTGATCAAACTCAGAAACTGCGGTCCCTTCGCTCAAGCCTACCACCGAGGGCCTGACTTTGAACCTGGTTTTCCATCATTCGGCCTCCAGGACTAGGCTTTTGAAATGGACGTTTTGGGATGGCCGAATTGCCATAGCTGTTGCCCTCATGGGCCATTTTTGTTATTACACCAGTTGAGCTTTGGTTCGGCAATTGTGTTGGAGCAGGTTGTGCTGACTCCTGGTGTCTTGTTTTCCGGGTGTTCAAAGTCTATGAGATCAGATAACCCGTCATCGTTGGTTTGGATTGGCGGTTTGGGGATTTGAACCACTTATTCTTGTTGAGGGTAAATGATAAACCACCCCTAACCCGAACCTCCAGCCCACCTATGCGACCCACCGACTAGAGGCAGGCTGATTAGATGTGTGTTCAGCAGGCTGATTAGATGTGTGTTCAGGTGAGTTAGTATCAATGTTTTCCTTCTGAAGGAAGGAGACCTGAGATTTCCTTTTGGTTTGGCTTCCCTCTACGTTTCCTGTTTTCACAATGACACTTATGGTTCTTGGGTTTCTCCGTCCCCCCTTTTTTCTTTTTCTAACTTTTTCATTTGTTTCCTTTGGTTCCCCTTTGGTTCCCCTTTGGTTCTTTGGTTTTCCCGTGTCCTCGGGTTTTCCCTTCGGTGCGCTTGGTTCTCCCGAGGCATGGACCAGGGATCTGGAGACGGAGGTGGAGAAGCCCGGGGAGAAGGCCGGGACCGGCCGAGTGAAACGGGGACGGGTGGAACGGCGGAAATTCCCCGGTGAAACCCCTGATTTGTGTTGACCCCAGATGAATTTCAATACAGCCAGTATTTCATTTTCTCGGGGTTTGTTGACCCCATAGGAACTTCAACCAACCTGTTTATTGGGGGGGGGTGTCCATTTCTGGGTGAAATGTGGGGAAAAAGGACCACTTTTGGAGGGAAATCTGCTTTATCCCTAGTGGGTTTTTCAAAGGGAATCCACAAGATCCTTACCTTCGGTTGCGCAAGGAGCTGGTTTTTCTTTTGTGGCTTCCATCTATGGGGATCATGGAAAATCGGATTGGCCAAGCCTCCAAACCATAATTCAAACAGTCCAGCATGAATTCGCTGAGGCGAATCCACTGGAAATGACGGGTTACAAATGCATCATCTTGGAATGAACCATGGTCTTAAGGGGGGAAACCACTGCACTGGATGATTTACTGGGGATTTTTCGGGTTTTGGTTTTAGCGGTCCCTATTCAAGGCGATCTGGACAAATTTCGTACCCGTTGAATAGGGTGGCAAAATCTGCAAATTGGTTCCCTTTTTGGCTCTCGGCTACATGATTCTCCTTTCTAACCTCATGAGCCCATTTGGAGCAGGCCTAGTCTCATAGTGTTGACCCCGGCTCCAAGTAGAACCCAACAATACTGGGGCGGGCTCCTGCAAAAGTGATGAATCCCCACATTTCTTTTGTTCGAGTCCAAAAAAGGCCTGATCGGTGACACGTTTTTGGTGGTTCTATGTGAAAGTCCCGAGCTTGGCCGAGTGAGTCGTCGTACCCTTACACCCAATTGTGCACTGTTGCCGCATGTTTGCGCTTTTGCGGCTATGCGTTTTAGTGCTGGGCTGTAAAAAGCCAGATTTGCCGACAAAAAGACACGAGGGCCGCTGTTTTGGCGTGGATCATCCAACCGGGATACCTGTTCTAGATGCAAGTTTGCAGTTGCGAGTGAAGCGGGCCAATGCCCGGGTTTCAGGGAAGTTCTTGAGAGGGCTGTGAACGATTATTTCCCAATGAGAAGTAGAGATTGAGATTGGCCTTCATTTGGCGCACATCTCAAAGAGCACTCCACTACAGAAATGAGATGACCTTTGGGCACTCCGAATTGCCTCGCGACCTTGCTAGTTTTTTTTCTTCTTTCTTTTTTTTCTTCTCCTTTTCTGTGGGGAGGGTAACATGGTTGGTGCACAAGCCTAAAGGGCTGGTTCCAACATGTCACCTGAATGGGTGAACGCTCGCCACTTTTCCCCCTAAAGTGGCAAATGGATTCTTTTTGTGAGTTGAGACCTTGCACTCAGAAGAAAACAACAGGCGGGTTCCAAGATACCAAGTCTGTCGGTGCAAGGGTTTTCCCGCTTCTGTGATACCGGAAAAACCTCCCCCTGTTTCTCCGCTTGGAATCAGTGCTTGGAAGAGCCCGCAAAAAGAAGGTATCACAGTGGTCTTCTACTGCTTCTGGTGCTTTCTTTTATTTTCGAAACTCTCCAAGTAGGAACCCTTTGATCTTAAACACCTCACTCCCCGAGTTCTATTTTTGTTCTGCAACAGCTGAACGCTATGGATTTGGTCGCCGCCCTAATAGGCTTTGGGATGGTATGGGGCAGCTTGCAGGGAGGGTTCTGGAGACTCGGCTCCAGAAGCTTCCGGGGCTGTTGGGCATACCCTCCCACCAATCAGCGTAGAACCTAGCATTCGGGGGGTCCTGGTTTGGACCATTTTCCTTTTAAAGGGACCAGCTTCCTGTCAGGATCCATGTTAATTGGTGGGAGGGTACCACCTGGGCTGTGTTTTTTCGGGAAGGACCATCTTAGTGATTCACCAAACGCTTTTGACTTTTCCCGGCCACTCAGAAGGTACAATGGTGGAAGTTTGGATGGTGTCAGCCATCCTTGATTCTTAGCGGATCCCGGGCAAGCTATATAGTAATTAGGCAACTCTTCGATCCATGTTACTTCTCGTTTTTCACGACTGGCAAGCCCTGCTTGCCTACATAACCAGGCTGAAATGGAATCACTGGGTGACATTACTTGAGGTAAGTAAACAAATAAGGTGACTGAGGGGTCACCCCGAGGTCCTCAAAGTGAGAAACTTCTCGTGTTCTCCTGCTTGCCACTTGTTTTTGTGAGCCCAACAAGCGGTTTTCCGCCTCCCCCGCCTGAAGACGTGGGGGGGCAAATGGGCAAACCTCAGTTTCAAGATCGACCCCTTCGGTGTCCCCTAATATGCGAAGGAATAAATCATAATATGACCCTAAAACCTAGATCCTGGACCCTAACCTGGCCCCCAAGGGTCGCGCCAAAGCCTCCTTATGAGCGGGCCTTCTGCTTTAGTCGTCGAGGCCCTGAGGGCGGTGGAGCAGCACCTCATCAACCTGGGCACGGAGCTCTCCCATTGCTCAGTGGCCACGAGCTAAGAGACGAGTGCGAAGAGAGCCAAAGACGGTGGTGGATTTTTTGGGGTTTTGGGGGATTTTTGTGTCATCTTTTTCTCTCTGTGTTTTTTTGTTTTTGTTTTGGGGGTCCCATCTTCTCACCTTGCCCTCTCACCCTGAATAAATAACTACGAAGCACGGTGGGTCTTGCCGTAACCCAGGGCACTTTCAAAGTGGTTGGCTTCCCCCAAAATGGTTGTCCAGAACATGTCCCTGGCGCCCGTACACAAGTAGGCTTACACAGGCAGTTCTCAGTTTAGTCCCATTGTGACCCCAAGGGAGAGCGGGACAGCTTTGAAGCCCAAAGCAAACCCAAAGGAACCCATGTCTGGGCGCTTTGCAAAATTATGGACCGTTTCAGGTGGCCTCCTTTTGGTCTTCTTTCATCCAAGGGCTCCAAATTTCCCACCCGGAAAACGGGGGCGAGTCGAATTTTCTGGCTGGTTGTCAGGAACGAGTTGGATTGAACCCGAGAAAATCATCCAATGTTTTCCTCTTTTTTTTCCGGGAATCCCCGAAAACCGGCTCCTTTTCCCGACGCCCGACCTCGGGAATTCGTTCCCTAGCGGCACCAAAAAGAAAGCCTCGCCGTGTTAGGACTTGGAGACCCCCTTCTCCAGGTTCATATTTCACCATGGTTTTTACCCTTCAGGCTGGGTCATCCTCCAATTTAAATTTCCCCACCCGGCCTTTCTTTTCATGGGGGGCAAGGCACATTTTCGAGGTTTGGGTCTTTACCTTTCTTTTGATGGGAATAGGACACAAGACAAGTAGCAAATGTTTCCAGTAGTGAACTCGATCCCCTTTAAAACCGAAAAGGGGAACAAACTAACATATTCATTTGGGTATGGGTCAAAATTAACCCACCAGGAATTGGACCCCAGGTTTTAGTCCATGTTTCCATTTACTACAACCCAGGTTGGGGTTACCCTATTTTGACCACAGATTCCTTTCAGCAAATGGACCCCTTTGGGATTTTCGAGGAACCGCGCGGAGCCCGGTTTCGCCGTTTCGCCCCGTGCGTCCGTCTCAGTGAAAAGCGCCGCACGCCGAGGCCTTCTCAGGGCTGCGGCTGCAGGGCCACATGGCGGGCACGGTGCACATCTCCCGGGGCCTCCAGGCACCTTCGCCTCGCGCGCGGCTCGATGCCTTTCACTTCGCGGATGCCCGGCGGCCCACCAGAAGTGGGTTTTTCCACCAGAAGTGGTGCCCACCCCCCTCCCCCCCCTTCCCCGTGTTTCTTTTTTCTTTTTTCAGTGTTTTCCTCAAAGACAAGGTGCCCCAACCGAGGTGGCACCGTCTTTTTTCTTCTCCTCAAAGACGAGGGGTGCCTAAAAATGGCGAAGTCTGAGGACACTTTTGCATGGAATTCGGCGGAGCTATGTAGGGGAGCCATCGAAATGAGTGGTAGAAATCAAGTGGACAGTCCTCTTGCCAAACATTGGTGCGGACATCCACTCGTTTTGATTAATTACATCGGTTTGGGCCAGGTTTTGAGTATCATTCATGTGTGTCAAATCACACTTCCTTGTGAACCATGGCTCATGGTTGAGGATTGACCGTGGCACGTCTTCCGTCTCCTCCCTGCGACCAAGGTTCCATAGGGAGGACTTGCCTGTGTTGCAAGTTCCCAAAGCCTAAGTTGGCATAACAAGATTACCAACCACTCATCAAGTACCAGATTGCCTCAGAGCTGTGTGGGAGGGTGATGTGAGGTGAGCGTGAGGTGAGAGAGAGCTTGGAGGCGTCGAGACGAGTTGGAGCCTTGCTCAGTCTTCACTTGGCTGTCCCCTCCACCCGAGCAGCCAATCAAAGTTGTCAATATTTGTAGTCTTTGGGGAAAGTCCTGGGTGTCTGCCGGAAAAGTGTTGACACGACGAGGAACCCGCAAAGAGAAGCAACATGAAGCAACAAAAACAAAACGGGCTTTTCCACCAGGTTGACCCTTTTGGGACACCAACAAAACACGAGTCAAGCTGCCGGCACCCCGGGTCCGCGCGCGCTCGCTCGCTCGCTTGGCTGGCTCGGCTGGTCCGGCAGGACGAGCCCAACCCGGCCCTGGCGGACCCCGAGGTGGCGAACTACTACTTGGGCCTCTTCATGCGAAAGAAGCTGGCCGGGGTCCGGCGCGCTTAAAAACCCCACGGCTTGCGGGGTTTGGGATCCAAAAACGCCATTGGGGGGGAAGTGTGAAGGGAAGGTTGGTATAACCGACGGGTTGTGAGGGATCCAACAAGAAATGAGGGAACGTGCGTTTTCGAGCCATTTCCCGATCTGGATTTGTTTAAAGGGGGGTGGAGCTCCCTTCCAACTTTTGAGGAATGTCCTGCCTCCTCCGAGCCAGGTGAGGGACAGGCCACTTTAGCACCAAGTTTTGATTCACCGGGGTTGGGGGTTGTGGATCCGCCAGGTGATTCCGGCTTTTGGTATCCATCGGTTTGGGGGGGGGTCACTCCCCAAAAAGTCATCCGCATCCGCTCTTAACGAGGGCACCTGCAGTCAACAAAAATGGAGATGATCAACGCGACTTGCTTTGGCACACTTATTTCGCGAGTAAGCTTCGAATTAACGTGGAACCTGACAGGGGGGGTCCTGGAAGACCATTTTCCCTTTTAAAGGGACAGGGTCCTTGGTCAAGGAAGGCCCCTAATACCTTGGGATACCACCCGGGGAGCGTTGGTTCGTCATTTCAGTCCGGGGCCCGGCAGAAGCGATGGATGTCGTTTTGGGGGTGACCCAAGTCCCAAACCCCCGAAAAGTCTCAAGGATAGTATTCAACTCCCAGGGTCTTTTGCGGGTGGGCGAACTTCCTGGAGATTTTCTAAAGCTTGTCTCTTAGACACTGAGAGCCGGCAAGTTGCTGATAAGAAGATGTTCCACGAGCTCGTCGCTGAGTGGTTCGCTTTGGTTCACCTATAGACCTAGGCTCCTTCACCATCCCATGAACCAATTTCTGGGGCTTCCGCGCCGCGCCGCGTGTTGCTATCCAGAGATCGACTCGGGACCAGAGCGAGCCGAGTAGCGCCATGCCCAACGGGGACTACTGGGACATCGATGCGCCTCGCAACATTTGAGATGTGTGTGTGTTTGTGCGTGTCTGTTCTTTTTTTGTAGTTGGTATCCCTTTCGTGGTGGTTTTTAAAGGGAACGAGAGGAACACCACCAGTTTTCAGGATCTCCGATTTTGATCCGAAAGCAAGACGAGCGATACGCGAGACGCAGGTCCTTTTGGGCGTCCAATTGGTTCAGGTTTTGGACTCTTTGTCTTCCATTTGCTGAAATGTATTTTCATTATTATTATTAGTATTATTAGTATTATTGTTATTTTCCCTTGCTGCTTTCAACAGTGAATTCAACACTACTGGGCATATTCCTATTTTTCCAGGGCTCTTAAGCAAATGGAGCCCTGATGGTAGAAATTGCAGATCGAGATCGGTTCGGGCAGATGCAGCTTGGGGGAGAGTCCTCAGCTGGAGCGCGGAGTGACAAGACGCCTCTTTGGAAGCTGTTCACGGGTTTTGGCTAGACCCCTTGTCCATACCAAAAAGTGTAATTTACCCATGGGTGGTACCCGAAAATGGGTGGTTTCCGTTTGGCGTTCCACCAAAGGTGTTTTGCGGGTGAGTTGTTTTGGGTGTGCCCTTCTCACCTTTGGTATACGCAAACGCAAAACACCTCCATTTCTCTCTGACAAAGGCTTGCGGCTTGCCGAAGCAGACACACACACACACACAGACTCATGGTCCTCCTTCTTGCCAAGCTTCGCAATGACGTGGAAGAAGCCCTCTCGATTGCACAATTCTTTTTCAGGTGTTTGAATCATGTCTTTAGCCTTAGGCAAGCACCAGATTTATGCTTTGTGCTTGGAGTTTCCTGACTTGGGTGTATAATCTGTTGAACTTCACCCAGGCATATGAACCCACTGCCATTTGGCCTTTCTTTGGTGGACTTTGGTGGCTGGTTTCCTGTAGGTTTTCAGGGAATGTGGGCATAGCCCACAAACCATGTTTTACACGGACCCATTCGTTGGAAGAGGGTCATTCCCAGGATTCCCTACTGAGAACCAGCAAGATGGAGCATCGGATCCCTTAGACCCTCCCCCCTGGTCAGGTTCCTCTTCATGGACAACGTTTCTGTCAGGAGAAGTAGTAGGCACACCCAAGAAGGGTCTCAGGCCTTGTAAGGTTCTTTTTGTCAGGTTACGTGCGAACCTTCCGGGGTTGCAGCTCTGACCCCTATCCTTTGCTTTTTGTTGGCTCGTAGGTTTGTTCACACGAAGAAGTCCTAGTGGTAGCTTAGGCAAGCTGCGGGTGCATCGGGTGTTTTATCTACGTGACTGTTGAGGGTACCCCTTCGGGATGGTTCAGCGGGAAGCTGTCCAAATCTCTTCTTTGAAAGGCACATGCCGAAAAACCGCTTGACTTGGGGGTGCTAGGGATAGTCATCAACCCTTTAGTAGGGCCATTACAAGGACTCCTATTTACGACGCACCCACAGATCCGGAGTTTGACCATGGCACATGTGGCTAACGGTGCATGGCGTCGATCTTGTTACCGTCCACAATACGTGAGAGGGAATCCCCAAATTGCCAGTTTCCGTTCAGACTCCGTACACTCCCTTTGAAGCTTCCAAATAGTGGTAGTGGTCCCCAACATCATTGTTTCCTTCTCTTTGGGTTTCCCTTCAAATACCAATCAAGCAGGATGTTCGAATCTTCATTTCGAGCAACACCAACGATACGGTTCCCCGCGTTTGTTTCCCTCCCAAAAAGAAAGAAAGAAAAAAAACACATTCATAGTGTCCCCTTGTTTTTCCGAATTTTTCCTCGTTTTTTGTCGCTTTAAACGGTTCAAACCCCCACGTGCCACAGCGGAACCACCCGCCCCACCCTGCCTTCGTTACCCGAGGAGATCCTAGCGGAGGAGCAGGAGGTGGCCATCAAGAGCTTCCACGACATCGCCGGGGGCGGCTTCCTGCCACCAGACGGAAGCCGACGGCGAAGCCGACGGACCAACAAAAAACAAAACGGCAGGGGGGGTCAGTAGAGTCATTGTCTGGAGTTCTCTTGGGACTTGGAGTGGAGTAATTCTCTGGAGTTCTTGGTTGGGCGGGGATGTTTCAGAGGTTTCCGAGCCAATTCCCTTCAAAGGGATCCCCCAAAAGTAGCAGGTTCCATGAACACCACCAGCAAATTGCGACCCTGAAAAAGGAAACATCCAGCGACCCCAGCTATGTTCTCCCGGGTTTTGGTAGGTCTCCAAGGAAACCTGCCATTGGGATCTGGGCAGAAGCCACTCGCAAGCCACCAGAGGCTCAACCCGCCACCCCGCCACCCGCTCCGAGCGCAAGCCACCGCCCGCGCCGCCCGGAGGTACCCCTCCTCCGGCGCCGCGAAGCCCCGGGACCTCAAGGAGGGCGCCAAGGCCCGCGGCCGACTCGGCGAGAGACCGGGGAGACGGGGGGGGGTTTGGGCTCGGGTTTTGGGGGTTTTGGGGCTCGGGGGGGCTCCGAGCGGGTTGGTTTGTCCCCCCGTTTTTTTTTTGGTTTTTTTTTTCTTCTTTTTTTCGGGGGATGGGGCGGGAAAAGGAAGACACCCCCAAGATTTTTTCTCTCTCTCTTTTTTTGGGGGTACCGCGCTCGTCTTTCGTGCGTTTTTGGTTTTGGTGTTGGGTTTCGGGGAAGCGACAAGAAGGTGCTTTGTTGGATTCCCTTGAACTCCTGTTAAAGGCTAGACCCATTTTTGGGGTACCCTCCTTCTAAAAAAGAACCGACACCGATATGCGCCATATACCGCAATATACGGGCTGGGTAGGACCACACATATACGTTTGTCAATGTGATATATATATATATATATTTATACATCTATGTATATCTATACATATATATGCACATAGGGGCCATGATATCTTCTATTTCTGTTATTATTTTTATTGTTTACTTCATGGTTCTTGTTTTCTTGGTGGGGGGGTACAGCCGTGTTGTTTAGTTCCTATCCAGCGCTCAAGAGGCTTGGGTGTCCCTGGCATTGGTGGTTGGCTCGGTGGACGGTAGGGGGTTCGAAGCCCCAACCATCAAAAGGAGATTTCGTGTTTTGGGTTCCATCTTCACCTGCAGGAGAGTAGCCCTTGTGCAAGTATGAAGTACCGCCTCCGTGGGAGCACTGCCTAACACGGACCTGTCTCTCTTTTCGAGGGGAACCCACTTTGGGTTGGTTTTTGCCAACGGTTCCCTCTAAAAAAAGAAAAAACATAACACGACACCCCCAAAAAACCTTCGGCCAGACGATTCGATCGTTCGATTCGATTTCGCTTTCGCTTTCGACTTCGAGGTCGGGGTGCCCTTTTGGCTGGCGCAGAAGCTGGCGCGCCGCAACTGCGTGGAGGTCGCCCTGCCAGCCGCTTGGACGGATCGATCAGTCCCGTCGACGGATCATGGCTCCTTTTTCACAGCCAGCCTGGCCAAACATCGGACCGAGAGTTGCATTGCTTTTTTGGGCGCAAAGAGTTATGGATCCTCAAGCCTATGATTTCAATCTCGGCAAAAATATAGGTGCTGCCTTTCTTTTATTATTGATATTATTGCCTTTCTTTTACCACCCTCGGAAGTCCTGCAAACCAGGTCTTCAAAACCACCACATGGTGGGAAGCCGACTATTTGTTTGATGAAAGGGAAACAGAGACTTGTGTTACCCCCGGACTAATCAACCCAAGTTTCTTCGTAGGGGGGTGTACCTGGGTTTGCGCAAATTCGTCACTTGTGGAAAGGGAAACACCCTCCCCATATTCACAACCCTTGGATATTCATCCAGGGTCAACATTACTTGCTTGTTATGTAATCAATCTATGTATATATATATAATATGCATCTTGTTTTGTGCATATTTTGATGCAGCGATCGCATAAATGTTTAGCACATTTTGTTTGATTGTTTCTGTCGGCTCTTATTATGTACTCCTTCGTCTATTGTGGTTATTGTCCTTCTTGTTCCTCCGTGCCTGTTTTATCATACTTGATCTTTCATGAATGTGGGTTCTAGGAGTTGGCGCTCAGACTTTGCCTTCCCGGTTGGGATGGATTGTGATTGGCCGAGCGGGCTGGGGGGGAGGGAGGGGCGGGGGGACCCGACTCCGGCCTTGAGGCGTAAGCCCAGTGGGGCCTTACCCTCCTCCTCCCCAGGCTCCCTTCCAAACGGAACATGCTTCTCAGGGGAGTCTTTCTGTTCCATTTTGACCTTAGAAGCAGGGCCAGTTTGCACAGCAAGATGTTGCAAACTCTTTCCGCTGGGACTCGGAGGTTGAGTGATGGGGATTCAACATCACCGTCTACAGATTCGTTGCTGATTTCAGGTCTCAAGTACTCCTTTTGATTGGGAAGAAGCGTCTGGAACGGACACATACATGATTGTGTCTCCAAATTAGGGGACCCCAAGAATGGTTGGTCGCCTCGCTTCCCTCTAGTATGGCCCCGGGTTTTGGGAACCCCGGATTAAGCAGAAGCCCTGGTTGATTTCGATCGGGGTGTGTCCCTTTCTAGCGGGGGTTCGACGACTTTTGGAGGGACCCCCCCCAATAATGGGACGAGTTGATCAATCGGGGGTCCACATTATTGCATATGACACATGTGGATATATGGGCGCGTGGCTTGTTGAAGGTTGCAGGTAGTTGCGCTTCTGAGAGTGTAGGCCCCTTATACGAGTGTGTAGGCCCCTTATATGAGTGTGTCTGAAAGTGGAATGGTTGCTTCCCTTTACAGTGGATGGACGAAATCCATTTCGCTGCACAGTTCAGAAACCCAACGGGATAATTCAATTCCGCAACGTAAATACCAACAAATGTTATGGTTTCAACCATGGTCTCCACGGGGTGCGAACGGAATGGTCCATCCACAGCATGTCTCCCCGAACACACCAAACAATGAACATCTCACCAAACAACCAAACAACCAAACAACCAAACAACCAAACAACCAAGCAAGCTGCCCTTTCCAAAAGGAGACGAGTCTAAAACCCCTGGAAAACTATGGGTTTGTCTCAACATCAGGGGAGCTCCCCAACATGGAAAAAACACAACAAACACGTCTGGGAATTGCTTGGCTCGCGCTAACCCCGCTGCGAGGGGTCACCCTTCGTCTCCCATTTCGATCAAAGTCGATAAAACGAGGCCATCCTGGATGAGGCCATCCGCGAGACCCTGCAGTCGGACCCCGTGGTGTGCCGCCTAGGCCGGGAAAATCGAGCTTGGGGCCAGTGGGGCAACGGCCTCGGAAGCACCCGGTTTTTTGCGTTATGCTTATTTATTTTTTATTTATTTATTTATTTATTTATTTATTTATTATTATTATTATTATTATTATTATTTTGGGGGGGAGGGGTGGTTATGTTTTGTTTTTTTGGGCGGGGAGGGGTGGTTGTGTGTGTGTGTGTGTGTGTGTTTTTTTTGGGGGGGTCAGGAGGGTTCGTTGAGTTCTCAACACTGGTTGGTGTGAGGGGTTCTTGGGGGGTTCTCCAAAACATTAGGCCGGACGGTCCGACGCGCCGTTTGGAGCACGAAGACGTGGTTGATGGGAATCAACCATTTGGTATCAATAAACGGTCCCACTTTCCACCCCTCAAACTGGCAACACAGGGGCCAGTTTCAGCCGGCAGGAAACCGAGAGGAGATCAACTCTCATTTGGCGTGTTTTCATCTTTCATTTCGGCTCCGGGACATATGACTCACCAAGAATCACCAAAGACAATTGGACAACACCGCAGCTTTGTCCCGTGGGTAACAGATTCTGACCGCTCACATGGATGCGTCTCAACCTTTGATGGTTTCACCCACAAATCATCAAACAACACAGGAGTGCTTGAAGGGGGGAAGAAGGTCCCTTAAGCCGTTTTTCTTTTGCTCAAGGGGAGCTGCTGAAGTTTATGGCATCAAGGGGGGTTCTTGATGCGGTATTGGCCAGTCTGAAAGTGAATGCATCCGATCGCGAGGAGCAAACCTGATTGACTCAGCAGTTTGTTCCCACACGCGAATGTACATTGCATACATGTCTATGGCAGGCATCATATTCTTTCACTTTTGATGCTGGTCGGATCTTGATCGCCGCTGATTCTTGCATCCGTCATGTTGGTTGGACGAATGGCTCGGCTTGGCCAAGTTTGGCTTGGTTCGGTTTCGTTTGGCTTGGCTTGGCTTGGTTGGAGCAGTAAACCGCTCTTGTTCCCCTTTCCCAACCCAAATCGCCTTCTTCCACCCTCCTATCCCCCACCACCACCCCCCCTCCTCACCCCTCCCCACCCCCCCCCCCCCCGCTCTGCATCCAGGGGAGAAGAGCCGGTACTACTTTGAGGTAGGCTTCAAACTGGCGGCATTGAGGAAGGATGACCAGCTCAGGGAGATCCTCCTGAACGCCTTCATGCCACCCGGTCGGTCTCAGAGAAAAAAAGAAGCTGAGGGCTTTTCATGGGGGGAGAGTCAAGCCCTGGTTACTGTTGCTGAATCAACCCTACTTTGGGGTGAGTTGAAGCATGGTTTGCAGCAGTATTGCTGAAACAGCCTCTACTTGGGTTGTTTAGATACTTGTTGCCCAATCCTGGTGGCAATCTCGTCAAAATCCACTGCACTTCACTTCGCTCTGAACCTCCACTCACTCCACTCTTTCTGCTTACTCACTCACTCACTCCACTCTTTCTGCTTACATGCTCACAAACTCCAAGTTGCTTAGCCCAACTTCCTTCCCAACTTCCCTTCCAACCTCGACCCACCCGTTTCATCAGCTCACGTGTCGCTCGCCTCGGGCGCGGGGCTCGGGGGGGGGTTTTCCGTAGGCACCGCTTCCGGGACCTCCTGGGCCTCACCTCCAGCTTCGGGGACCCCAGCCGGCCCGACGTCACGCAGCCCGTGCAGAGCGGCTTGGAGGGATCCGGGCGCCGTCCGGGGCAAGCGCGCGATCGATCGCGGCATCGCGCGCTTCTTCGAACACGTTCTTTCATTTTTTTGAGGCGAAGGGAACAACGGCCAAAGAAAATGGTGGTGTTTCAAGGGAAACTAGGAACAAAAAAGCGATTTTGAGAAGAGCTCAAGATGTGGGTCTGATGTTTTTGAGTGTTTTGTGTGGGCTTCCTCTTCTTTTCCCCCTGAACCAACCCGACAAGCTTTGGTCCCTGCGAAGTAAGAGTGGTGCATCGATTTGTCCAACTATACCTGGGTCTGCCGTTTTGTTGAGGGTACCCTTTTGCGCTTAATTTAGAGGGAGACCGAAAGGACACCAACAATTTTAGGGTCCAAACCCAACGATATTGACCGGCCATCCCTGGACATGGTGCATGGCCGTCCGTTTTTTCGTCATTATTTGGACTGTTTCGTCATTATTTGGATTGTTTCTGCGTTATCAAAGTCAGATAACGGTTGGTGGCTTCCCATTCAGCCACACAGGGCTTGACTGGACAGCTTTCTCCCGTTCGACTTGTTGCTGAGTCTGTCCTTGCCTTCCTTTCCATTCGTCCTTCTGCTTTTTTGCGTTTCCTTTTTCTCTTTCATTGCCTACTTGCTTGCGTGTCCGTTCATTCTCTCTCCTGCTTTCTTACGGCTCATCGCAAATCAACCTAGCCATACCCCCAAAGAAGCACACCTGCACCCGTCTCCTTTTCTGGCCGATGCTTCCTGGCGTTGGAAACCAGACATCCCAACGTGTCTCAGGTGTTTCTTTCTTTTCTTTCTTTCTTTCTTTGTTTCATGCTTTTTTCACGACCTGTTTGGGCACCTATCCTTGGTAGAAAATAGATGGCGATTCCTGGTTGACCTGCTTTCATAATCTACCAGGGAAATGCAGCTAATTTCAACCAAAAGGACACCTACAGTGGATGGACGAAATCCCGCACCACCGTTCAGAAACTCCCTGTAATTGGCAAGAACCGTCATGGCTTCAACCATGGCGACTCATTTCGCCGTGCGAACGGATTTCCCCCATCAACCGGGTCATGCTTCAGGTCAGTTCCTGTCGAGCTTGACGGGTCTGGAGGAGGACTTCTACAAGGGTGCCCAGGAGGCAGAGTCCCACTTCAAGCGCGGGCCCCGGTCACGGCTCGGCGACCGGCACAAGTTCTGCCCCAAAACTCGGCAAGTGCGGAGGGCATCTTTTTTTTGGGGGCGGAACCGGCGCGGAACGGGTGCGGACCCAGGACCATTGGCACGGAGGCGCTCGCGCTTTCGCGACGCAGTTGCAGCGTTTCGGCAAACTGAGGAACAGATTCCGTGGCAGGCGCAGCACTTTTTGGATTGGTGATCAGATTTCGTGGCAAGCGCAACACTTTGGGCAGCCTGAGGTGCGCATTTCGCGGCAGGTGCAGCACTTTCGCAAGGTCTCGCAGATTTCGTGGCATGCGTAGTGCTTTTGCAAGGTGAAGTGCGGATTTCGTGGCAGGCGCCGCGCGCTTTCGCAAGGTCACGCACAGATGTCGTGGCAGGCACAGCGCTCTCAAGATAGCCAGATCTAGAGGACTGGGTAGGTAGAAAGAAAGATAGCTAGAGAGATTACAGACGGGCAGACAGACAGATAGATCGACAAGACAGATAGATAGATAGATACATCTTGGTAGATACATAATAAGTATATAGGTGGATAGACAGATAGATCGATAGATAGATAGACAGACAGATAGACAGAAACGCGATCAGCGATCGGCAGATATCACTGTAGATAAACAGATAGATAGAAAGATAAGAATGACAGCAATCGATGGATACCCAGATAGCTAGATGGATAGACAGAGAGAGAGAGAGAGCGCGAGAGAAGGAGAGAGAGATAGAGACAGAGAGGGAGAGAGAGAGAGAGCGAGACAAAGAGAGAGAGAGAGAGATTAAATTTGATTAGGGTAGCTAGATAGCCCCATAGACAAATGGATAGATAGATGGATGGATGGATGGATGGATGGATGGATGGATGGATGGATGGATGGATGGATGGGTAGGTAGGTAGGTAGGACAAGAGAAAGAGAAAGAGAAGCATGTGATCGACGCGAAGCATTTTCTCGACAGACAGGAGTTCAGGAAGGAACGGGAGGAGAAAGAGAAAGAGCAGAGAAAAGTAAGAGAAGAGAATGAGAAAGAAAAGAGAAAGAGACAGAGACGGAGACAGAGAAAGAGAGCGAGAGAGAGAGAGAGCGCAAGAGGGAGCGAGAGAGAGAGTGAGAGAGAGCGAGAGGGGGAGAGGGAGAGGGAGAGGGAGAGAGAGAGAAAGAGGCTCTTGCAACGAGAGGGAAACATAACTATAGCTCTCATACATACAACCGGCTTTGCCGGCCCTGACTGTGTTTTAAGGCTTCAGTGTTGATTCTCAGGAGGGCATGCGTCTGCGTTGGCTAATGACTACTTGGATGAATGAATTGGGGCAGGTGCTGCCAGCACGGAGCACGGGCTTGCCAAGAATTGGGTCAGCATTGTAGGCTGAGGGTTGTTTTGGTCAGGGCTATTGACTTCCCCCAAGCAGGAAGGGCCGAGCAGGATCGGACTTATTTGTGTGCTTGTTGAAAGTTTCGGGTGTCCTTCAGGCTTACTTTCAAGAAACAACAAGGAAGCCAGGCCCCGATAAAAGAGCTGACCGCTTTCATGGATCAACTTAGTTGGTCTGAGGCCTCCGTTTTCACCCTGCACCAATTTTTTGGTGTTTTTTGTTGATCGTGTTGTCACCCGGGAGGTGACCCCTTTTCGGCCTTGACAGGTTGCCCAACCTCTCTCTCCTCTCTCCTCTCTCTCCTCTCTCTCCTCCCTCTCCCTCTCCCCTTTGCCACTGACCCCCCTCCAGTTTTCTCAGGGTACCCAAAATGGCCCCTGGGTAAACACCCAAACCTGCGCAGCCCTGACTCTAGGATATTTAGAACCACACCCAATGGGAAAACAGGCGGATGCCCTCACCAAATTGGGATGCCCACGTTTTCTCCAAGTTGCGCTGGCTGCCATAAAGCCATTCGCACCATCCGCCTCGGTTTCTCTCGTCTCATTGGTCGGACGCCCTCCTCGGCCACCGCTTCGGCCGCTGAGGCGCTGGGCGGGGAGCTTCAGCTGCTACGTGATGGAGGCCTCCCATGTGGCGGAGGTCTCCGCGGCCAAGCGCGCGCGCCTGGGCGCGTGAGAGGCCTGAGCCCGGCGAGTCGGGTGGGGTGGGGGTGGGGGGCATGGGGTGGGTCGGGGGTGGGTGGGTGCAGCAGAGGTGAAGGGGGTTGAGGTTTGGGATGGGAAGGTGAGGATTGGGTCAAATGTTTGTTGATGTAAACCTGTTTTATCCACAGTGTTGAAAGTTTTTCTTTCAGCGGCGACCGCTGGTTGTTTGTGCCACAGTTTAAGCGACATTTTGCCCAATTGTGGGTTGTAAGGACCGTTAGTGGGGTCATGCTAAATGGGGTGAGTAGGGGGGTATTTGGGGTGGGGGATTTGTGGGTGGGCCTGGGGTGGAGCGTTAGGTGGGTGATAAGGCTATGGATGGTTTTCATGTTGGGGTGTGAGGTGTTAAAAAGTGGCGCCGTGTCTTGTCCGTGGAATGCCTTTCACATTCCCAAGAAAAACAAAAAAACACACACACACACATGTATGGGGGGTCAAAACTAAGCCACCAGGAATTCGACCGCAGGTTTTTCTCCGCAGGTTTCCATTTACTAGGGCAACCCATTTTGGGGTTACCCGATTTTTGACCCGGCCAAATCAATTTTTGGTTTGGGGAGTTGAACCCTTTGTCCGTGTAAACAGGGCCCCAGCCCCAACCTCCAAAGTGGAGGCTGAGTTTGTCATGGACCTGCCGCAAGAGCGCCTCGTTATGTTTCTATCAAAGCCACCCAATTCCATTAAGTCAAAATTGGTTCCAGCTGACTTTAACCCCCAGAAACAACACAAAACCATGACTCGCGAGCGAAGCCCAAACTTCCAGTTGTAAACTTTAGGAGCCTCCAGAAGCGGAAGAAAAGAGTCATGGCAGCAAAACCGTTTTGACTCCCCCGTTCTTTCCTTCGTTTGCATCGCCAGGTTTCACCGGCCGGGGGTGCGGCTGGCCTGGGGGCTCCGTGGGCGGAGCGATCGAAGCGATCCACGCGCGGAAAGGGCGGAGCGGTGGACAGAGTTGGGTGCTGGGCGGTTCCCAATTTTCCGGTCCCTTCGGTGTTTTTAGGCCTTGAGGTTTTTGGCTGAAACAAGAGCCAGCCCATCCAGAATCGCAAAGGTGACCTGATGTGTTCCAGTGTGAAACAACCCTCGCCCATTTCTCCACTTCCAGTCCGGGGCCCAACCAAAAAAATCATCCCCCCCCAACCCGTCCAAACCCATGCCCATGGAAAACCCATCCACTTCCCATCGCCATCGCCAGAAGCTCTTCTACTTCCTGGGCCCCTCTCCGGCCATGCTGGCGCTCTGCCCCCTCATGGCGGAAGACGACAGCCAGGCGCTCTCGAGTTCGGCGCCCCCCCGCCGGCGCGCGTCGAATTTTTGTTCTTGACGCGTCGTGCAGGGCACCGCGCCGTGGAGAGTTTGTAAGTGGCTCGTCTTGTTTTTGGATTGGAACCAAAAGAAACGGCCGGGTTTTGCGATCGGTTTTCGTTTAACCCGAAAGGGGTAGCCTCGGAAATGGAAGAGCCACCTAGATGGCTGTGAACTTTAAGAGTTGGAACCTCAAAAGAGGTTGGCGGATGTTTCCCCGCCGAAATGATGTCTAGAGGGTCCGCAATTCAAATCCATACCTCTGTGCGGTGTGCTTCTGGGGTTGTTTTTTCCGCAAACCAACCAAATTTGGGTGGTTTTAAGCTCATCTCTTTTTGGTTAGGTTAACTGTTTTTTTAGAGATGTTTGTTTTTTGGTGTGTTGGGGGAACATACTGTGGACGAAATCCGTTTGCACCACAAAACTGGACCATGGTTGAAACCATTGTTCGTGGAATCATCATAGGGTTTCTGAACAGGGGTGCAAAATGGATTTTGTCTACAGTAGGGCCCTGTTCATAGCCCATTCCGTTCATTCCTTTGTGCCCAGCCCGCCCATCAAGGTTTTGGTACCTGACATCGTTGACTGGAATTCCGCTAGTTTTGCTCGCTGGTGCTCAGTACGGAATGACCGAGACCGGGTGTTGGGAATGAACCGTCTTTGGGATTCTCTTAAAGGAAACCACAAAAGCGATGGTCTTTCTTGGGGTCATTCCAAGTCTCGTTCCCGAGAACGAGGCAGCAAGATTAGATCCTAGCCTTAGAGTTGAACATCGCCCCCTTTCTCCGCACGTGTTTTGTTCTTCAGAAGGAACTGAGATTCTCAGATCTTGGACTCCAATATTGGAAGCACAGAAAGACACTCCCTAGCAGCGGCCATGCTTTTGAGGGTTAGCTTAATGGGTCTACAGAAATGCTGGCCGCGTGTCTTTTGCCTTTTGCTTGCGCACAAACCGTTCGGGGCGAAACGGAAGAAGCTGTTGCGATCGGGGGACCTGGATAGGTCTTCCGGACATTGCTGCAGCCGGGGTCCGTGGTGGTGGTACGTGGGGAGGCGGGCCGCGAAGTCTTCGTGGGATGGACCTGAGGACCCGTGGGGGTGGGTTTTGGGGTTTTGGGGTGGGGGGGGTGGGGTGGCTGTTGGGATTTTGGGTTCGGGGCCAGGAAGAAGGTGGAACTGAGGGCTCCTAGATTCGAAGCGGTCTCCGCATTGGGCACCACTTTTGGGTAGTTTCAGAGGGAACGGAGGACGCCGACCACTTTGAGGTGTGCAACTGATTGTATGGCACACCCGTGTTTTCATTCACCCGACATCACGGCCGTCTCGACTGGTTTGAAGGCATGTTCCTTGGAGTTGATTTGTTTGTGTGATAAACTTCGGAATTGGACCTTTCTAAAGCTGGCAATGGTCAAACGGTTGTCAGAAAGGGTCTTGTTAGAACCCCCCCTGTTTTGCCCCCATCCGTCGCGCAACACGAAACCCGCAAACCGGGAGTCTTTGACCAAAAAGTCGACCCGATCCATCTTGCTGCCGAAAAGATGTGGCAGCAAAGTACCAGAGCTGAACAAAAACAAGGAAACCAGGCAATTCCATCAAGTCTTTCTTCGGCAACACTTTGAGGCCCCTTTGTTTGGGCGTTCCTTCCTTCCAACTGCAGTGCCTGTTTCCCCCGTCTGAAATGATGTCTGAAGGGTGCATGGTTGCCGTTCCCAGAACGAAGGGCCCGTGAAAACAGGGAGGTCGCCTTTGAGTTTCCTTCAAACACTGTCTTGATGAGGTTTGAGATTTAAGCTGTCACTCCCAAACTCCCCCCCCACACTTTTAACAATGTTAGGGCCAGGGCCCCGTTTGGATTCGACCCACGAGTTTGACAAGGTCTGGGTGAGTGGATGGTTAACACTCGGGCAAGCCTGCAGGATGGTCGGCCAAAACACATGTGCCCGCATGTGCTCACATGAAGCATCTGTGCTCTTTTGGCTCACCCGCAAAATTTCCGGTACACACTTTTCGCAGCTCGGCCGTCCGGAAACAACCATGGAGCCTGCATGTCCCCAAACCCATGGGCTCTCCTCAGCCATCCGATGCACCATCCAGGGCATCGGAAAAATCATGCATGGGTTGGTTTCCCGTGAAAAAGCGGATGTGTCACGTTGGGGCATGGGTCTGCCTAGTCTGTGGCGAGCTCACCGATTCGGGGGTATAACGACAGGGGTCCTTTGGCTGGGGATCCAATTCTTAATTCCAGCTTTTGGATTCTTTTGTTCGTAACATTTTGGAATTATAGTCGTTGAGATTTGGGTTTGAGATCCCCGGGTTCTTGTGGGACACCCCAAAAAGCCTCCAAAAAACCTCCAAACCGGTTTAAAGTCCCAGGGGAACCCCCCAAAAGCCTCCAAGCCGGTTTCAACCCCCAGGTGCTTGTGGGAAAGATCAGACCTAACCGGGGAAGTCGGTTGAGGCGTGCAGCTGCCATCTGAACCCTCAGCTCTCGGAGCCATGCGTTTTGCTGGAGGCCGGGGATAAGGGCGGGTGGGGGGGGGGACGTTGCGTTTGCGTCTTTTCTTTTTCGGGGGGGGGGGAGGTGATCTTGGCATGTTTTTCTTGGAGGTGAGAACTTTGAACCTCTCTTCAACTTGTTTTTTCCCAGGAAGACGTTGTGTTTGCTTCTTTCTGAAGTGGGAACTCATTGATACACCCTCCCCTCGCCGGATTTTATCCCCTTGGTCTCGAACCCCATGGGTTGAAGACGGCCGTTGTTGAACTGTGATGAGCGCCTTGCTTTCCTTGCTGATGCTCAGAGGGAATGCCTCAGGGTGTTGGGAATGAACCTATTGCCGTAAAGGAAACCGCCAGGGATTGTCTACAGAGCCCAGTTTCATTCTTGCTCCGCAGGCGCCTCTTCGGGTTGAAAGTTGCCTGCTTCGAAGAACACCCTCACTCCTATGAGACCCTGCGAAAGTCGCCTGGGCCACTTTGCTCAAACCTCTGTGTTGATTGTCCGTTGTCCGTTTCCTTGGGCCGGCTTTGGGGCAACTTCCGTACCAAGGGAGCCTGCTTTGAAGTGGTATAGCGGGGATGATCCTTAGTGCCACAGACTTTACCGTGACTTGCGATCCCTTTTGTTTAGCAGCGCGTGAAAACTCTTTGACTTCTCAAAAGATCGAACTCCTCCGTTGAACGCTGACCAAGAAAAGAAGAGAACCTTTTCTTTAAGCAACCTCCATCACCAAATCGGCAGAACTGGTAGAACCAAGAGAAGAGGCTTTTTATTGGTTGAACTGGTAGAACCAAGAGACCAGCTTTTAGTTTTCCAGCTTAAACTTGGCAGAGCTTCACCAAAAGTCTTAAGCCACTTAACCTTGACAAGCTTTTGTTCACCAAAAGTCTTAACCCACTTAACCTTGACAAGCTTTTGTTCACCAAAAGTCTTAACCCACTTAAACTTGACAAGCTTTTGTTCACCAAAAGTCTTAACCCACTTAAACTTGACAAGCTTTTGTTCACCAAAAGTCTTACACCACTTAAAAACTTGACCAGCTCTTGTTTGACCAGCTAAATTTTGTAGGACTGGTTCACCAAAGGGTCCCATGGAGCCATGGGTCAGGTGGACTTCTTCCCAGAGATGAAGCACAGCCCGGTGGCCGGGAGCTCATCCCAAGCGGAGGTTTCGGAGTCTTCCGGATTTGGGACCCTGCAACCCCAAGCAAAGGTTCCCTACAAGAGATACACCTTTTTTGGTGCTTTTGCGCCCCAGACGAGGGCGGAGAACCCAGCGGTGATTTGTCATCAGATGTTTGTGCGCCTGGAACCATTGGTTCTGCTCGCTTGCGAAGCAAAGAGCAGTCACGACAGATTTCGATCCGGGCTTCAAATCCACTTCGCGCAAGTATAGTGTTTTTGTTTGAAGGCGCCAAACGTGTGGCTGTTTTATCGCGGCAAACCAAAAAGGAACCCGCTCATTTCAAAGCCATGGATCACAGGTCAGGGAGAAGCCAACGATTTGGTGCTGATCGATTCGCTTGGAAATTGATCTCGGCTGGCAGGAAAAAATGATGGCCCCCTATTTGGTACCCACGCCCAAAGGTGCCGCCCAAGTAAAGGGATACCATATGAACGTGAACACCCCCCATGTGTGTGTCTGTGTGCGCGCGTGAAAGTAGGTAGCTTGGGAGTTCATTTTGGTGTCCTTTACCATGGGCCTGTGCTGGTACCCGCTTGCGGATTCATCCACTCGTTTCTAGAGAGTTGAGTTCGCATTCCGGAACTCCTTTCACAAAGTCAGTTGTTACCTCACAGGGGTGCTCAAGATTCTGGGGAAGGTACATACTGTGGATGGACGAAATCTGGCACCACCTGAGAAACCCTGGAAATGAGTCGATTCCCTTGTAAATACCAATGAACCCATTGTTCCCAAGTGGTGCGAAATGGAGTTCGTCCATCCACAGTCTGGGCGCGTCTCTGTGGCTTTTCCGCTTCTTAAAGAAGTTGCACCCCCCAGCGCCGGAGCGGACCCCTGCCTCCGAAACCAACCCATAGCTGAATCAACTGTTTTGTGGAGAAAAAACATGCGCGGCTTCCTTTCGGTCTCGCTCCAAAGACATTTTTCCTCACCAAAAGACCGATTGGCCCTTTTGGTCCCGATCAAAGCGGCCGAAAGTTGCCGGCTGAAGTCGAGTTTCGGTAGGGTTCCATCAGCCCGTTTTCAAGGGCTCCATCAGCCCAGGTTCCGTGAAGGCCCCGGCGTTTTTTTTCTGCTTTTATAAGGGGAACAAAAAGCAACCACACACACGCACACACACGCACACACATCCCTCTTCGCCCTATTCCACCCCCCCCGCCCCCGGGCCCCAACCCACCCCGCCCCAGAACCCCCAACCCCCCCAAAAAGAGAGAAAACACAACACACACGCACACACGCACACCATATACCTGGGGCTTTGGACCTGAGGAATCGGCCTCCGACCGTGTGCCGCCCCCGCCGGACCGATTGCCTGCCTTGGAGTATCTCGGGAAAGCGACGGCCAGTCGGTCCTTCAGTGGGTCGGTTTGTTGGTCGGTGGGTCGGTCGGCCGTCCGTCGGTCGGTTGGTTGACTTGTTGGTTGACTGGTTGGTTGACTGGTTGGTTGACTGGTTGGTTGACTTGTTGGTTGACTTGCATTGCCATTTGCAGGGGCTGGGAAACCCTCATGTATAGGTACACCAAGCGGTTGCACAGGCGTGCCTTAAATATATTTTTGCCCTGCACATCGACCCAATGGTGATGTTTCAGCAAACCAACAAATGAAAGTCATAGAGTTAGCCGCCGTCCACCAACAGCCAACCCAAAGTCTTTGCTACCTTCTGTGGTCGCAAACTAGGGGTCAACACAGAACAACCACCTGGAGATGTTGCAAAAGGGTCTCAAAAGAAAACCAACCACGCGATGTTTGCTTCAGCATGTGTTCTGGGCGAGGTATTCGGAAGACATACTAGAGGGTTGTCTCGAAATTGAAAAAAACACAGAATTCTTGTGGTTATTGAAAGGCTCCTCTCTCAACCAACCGTCAGCAGCACGGCATGCATCACCTGAGGGTGCATGTCCTTTGACAACAATGCGGGATGTCAAAAGACCTCTTTACTTAGGGTTGACAAAAACGGTCATCCACCTGGTAGTAAGACTATTTTATCATCAACATGATTCCTATTCATGGAACCATGACCATATGCCACAAGAGTTTGTAGTCAAATGCTCTGATAGGAATGGTTGGTGGGCACCCCAAAAACAGACAGCCCCACGTCAATAGATCTATGGCAATGACCAGTCGTTTCGCGGGCGAAAGCTCAGTCACTTGGACGAGAAACACCAGTAGATCTACTGATCTACTCTGGATGACAAACCCCTGCAGCTGGTGGGTGGGGATGGTGATGATTCCTCCAATTTCTGGCGCAGGTGGTGTCTTCGTTTGCTGCAAGCCCTGGGCTGGTTCATCTTTAGAGAGGCTTCCGACCGGGTGCCAAGACCTGCTGTCGGGTCCCAATTTTGTGCGCTGGGCGGTGAGTTGGCCCCAACGGCCCGGCGAGGACCTGCAGAGTTGGCTGCTGGGGCGGCTGAAGGCCATCGTGGACAACGACGTGCAGGAGCAACGGGCGAACCGGCGCCGCGACGCCGCGACTCGCGGGCGGTTGGCGGTTGGCGGGGCGGAGACCCCGAAAGCTCGAGGACGCTCCTTGTGGGAAATGGGACCATTGGTTTTTTTGGGGTTCCAGGTCAATTTTGCAAAGGAGTATATACCCTGAAAAGACTTGATTGAGAGATCCGGGGTGTTCGAGGGAACACCCCCTATTAATTGGAGGGTTTATCAATCCGGGGTCACGTTGCCACGCAACCCGACGATGCGGGGGATTGAACTGAACAGGCCCATCCTCATAATGTTGACCCCGGATTTAAGTCTGTAGAACCCGTCCGTCCTTCTATAAAAGGGGGGTGGGGGCTCCGAAACTGGTCTGAATTCACACTAAACGGGCACACACCCTCCCCCAACCAAAATCAATCGCCGGGGTTCTGCTGAATCCGGGGTTCCCTTTTTTGCTGGGGTGATTCGGTGGAAAGTTTCTGTGAGAAGCTGGGGTTGTCTCCCTTTCACCTTTTGCATTACCCATAGGATTCAACATGGAACATGTGGCCTACGGTAACTAGCCCATGTCGAACGTAAACACTGGTTACCTACACATGGTGACTCGCAGGAGTTCGGCTTGTCCAAAAGGGGGGGCCAACAATCGGGTGGAGGTGGGTTCAAGGTTGGCATAGGGTTGATTCAGGATGTGTTAATGCTTGTTTCGTGCAAGTTTAAAGAGGTTGCGGTTTCTTTTGTCGAGCTTAGGTTGGTTTCGTTGGGGTTTGTGTTGGGCCTAGGCTTGGCTGGTTTAGCTGTGGACGGCCTTTTCTTTTTGAAGGCGGCTTCAGGGAAACCAAGTTGAAACCAACAGAAATCTCTTCTCGACCGATTGGCTGATTGCACGTTCTGCGAGGAGAACGTGCCGGAGGAGTGGATCAAGCTGGCACGGCAGACCTTCATGAGGCAGACGTCTCGGGGCGATGCGCATCTCTAAGTTTTATCTTTGTTCGAGAGATCTACACCACTCAGATCTGCTCCCAAGAGGGTAGACTAACTCGGACCAGAATCTGAACGCGTTCGTTTTTGGTGTGTTCTGGGGTTGGGCATGTTCACTTTACCTATTACATGTTCTTCGCTTTTACACTTTGCCGGCCCTAATACATGTTGTTCACTTTTACTTTTTACACTTTACCTAACTTTGCTTTGTGATGCTATCTTTAATTGAGCTCGTGTTGAAATAGATTCAGTATCCTGCTTCAGGTGACATTTGTGCAAATTGACCTGACTTCCCTACATAAGCGGCAGGCGTTTTAGTTTTGTTTTTGGGAAGGGGGGGGCATAAATGTATATCTATGTATTTATGGGTAAGAATTGAACGCAGGTCTAACCCTGCTTCGAGAACCTGCCCATGCCCACGCCCCCAACCTCCCCTCACCCCTCTTAGCGCAAGGAGGACGGAGCGAATATGAACACTGCGCATGCGCGTCAAATAGATATTGTGGGCAGTATCAAGCAAGTGCAATTTTGCTCTTTTTCCTCCAATTGCGTTCCGCTCAAAAGCGAGTCGCAACAAGGCTGAAACGCATGTAGTTGCTTCCATTCGCTTGAGAGTATGATTCATGTTTTCCCCAGGTTTAAAGGACATCTATCACACATATTTGTTCTCCAGCTTAGGCAAAAGGTCAGGTTGCGTTTTAGGCTCCAGCCAATGGTGCGTTGTAAACAAACTCCGTCCCTCGCCTTTCTTTGGCTTCGAGGTCCCGTCCCATGAAGATCTTGGAGGCACGGCCCCAGGGACGATCGCTGCTATGGGTAGGGAAGGAGTGGCAACGAGTCCGGGTGGTGGGAAGGAATGAACCGGTCTTGGAGGATTTCATTCCTCATTCCCCTAATTCCGGCGGTTCTCCAACAAAATGGCCTCGGATTCTGGTGAACTCGTGGGTTTCCTTGTTGTTCCCTTACTTACAATATTCATGGCATCTACCGTCATGGCTTGGGGGGGGGGGAAAGCTTTTGGGCTTCCGGCCACGGGCCCTGGGCTTGAAGCTTTTGGGGCAGACCAAAAGCTGATTTTGTGAGGGATCCGTTTGAATCCAAAAGGGTCTTTGTGTTTTCGGGGAGAGGTTAGAGATGGGAGTTTTCCAGAGTATGGGCCCCATAGGGTATGGGTCAAAGTGACTCTCAAGGAATTGGACCGCAGATTTTGGTCCATGTGTTTCCATGTAGCGTTCGGGCAACCCATTTTGGGGTTGCCCTATTTTGACAACCACGCCCAGATTTCCCGCCTTGCATATAAACGCATCACCAATTCTTGGGCCCGGTGTGAGATTTTTCTCGCAGTGTTCCGGGTTGGACGTGTCGGGACCGAGGTTCTGAGACAACATGCCTTTCATGTTGGCAAGAGACAGCTGGTCTCCTGGTGGCCTCTATCGCCGGCCAGTTACCCGGCATCTATTGTAAGGCCTATTATGAGTCTCCTTTTGTTTAGTTTGCTTGAACATAGCGAGCCCTGGTGCTTACTGGCTGGTTTTCCTGCCCGTTTCTCCGAGCCTCCTGGTGTTTTTTTTGGATTTGGCACCGCTTTTGGGCAGATTAAAGGCACGCCGAAAGGACCATGGGGTCCCCTACAAAAAAAGCCCCAGGTGATTGCCACCCTCTGGATTCCTCTGGAACCCTCCCTGAAATCTCCTCCAAACCACCTCAGAGCCGATTTCTGGCCATCGGCCCCAGAGTTTTCAGTTGTTAGGGACAAAAGGGAAACCAAAAGGAGGTTGCAACTGCCGAAGACATCTCGCCCGCAAAATAGAACAAGTACGACAGGGGTCCAACTTGTTCTAGTCTGAAAACATCGCCCCAACCTCTTTTTGTTCTTCCTCTTGTTGCTGGGTGCTACATCACCCATGACCGGAATGAAGCTTACCACCCAGGGATGGGACATGTTTTTGATTCTCCCTGAAAGCCTCGAATGTTTCGTGGCGCGGGGCCGGGGAGATTTTTTGGCGCGCTCAGATATGTCACCAGCTGCCGAGCAGCCATCGTTGCGCTTGGGAGGGCATGGCCAGTCCCTCGAGATGGGGTGGGGAAGGGGGGAGGGGGTTGGGGGGGGGGGGGAGGGTGGTGGGAGGGAGGGGTGGTGGGGGGGGAGGGGTGGTGGGGGGGGAGGGGTGGTGGGGGGGAGGGGTGGTGGGGGGGGAATTTGATATGTTGGTGGGTGTTCGGGGATTGTCCACTTGTTTGGGATTTGTATGGTCTTTGAGATTCCAGAGATCTACTGAGGCCGGTCCACTTGTTCTGGGGATGGGTGATTGATAGATCCCACAAGGATTTCATACAATCGCATCCTATTGGACTAATTAATCCTTAGGCTCTTTTACAAATGGCCTCTGACGATTCCGCAGATTCATTTTCTGGATGTTTCCGCTGGTGTTGTTGGTGGGGTGCCTAAACGATCTGGCGAAGTTGCATAGATTCAGGTTGCTTCGGCTATTGGACAGGCGATGCATAGCAGATCTGAAGTGATACGGGTCAACCTTGGCTACCACTTTGTATTGACACAGAAAAGTTCTTCGATATCAGACACTCGGATGCTGCGAAAGCGCGCTGTTTAGATCTGGAATACATCCAAGTATGCGAAATTGGTTGCACTCGTTCAGGCATTTGACGCGACGCCGAGTGCTTGCAAGGAAAAGTGGCAGAGCAAGTTCTCCTCTCCGCAGGGAGATCTCATTTTCATGGCGGCATCGTTGGTGCTTGCGCGATGGATTGAACAACCTCATGGGCGTTTTCGCTTGTGTTTATGTGGATGATCGCATCCTTTTTCAACGCGCTGACGATTTTCAACAGATGCAGCAGGCACTCAGATGGACGGAACGGCAGGATACAAGTCTCGGCTTGAGTTTTAAGCCCAAACGGTACAGCTCTCTTCTGGACAGAAGGACGACGCGCTCACTTGGCATGATGGCACGCGCGGCTGATCCCGCTTGCCCCCAAGAAATTCGATAGTAAGACCTATATAAACCTTTACATCCATGCCGGATGCAAGTAGAACTCAAAGTGAACGAGATTTGGGCGCTCATGTGGAGACACCCTCAAGTGTCGCAAGCAGATTGGGTCGTTGGGCTCTTTGAACGGCGGCTTTGCCCGCCGATTTTTTTCCCCCCCGGGAAACTCAGTTGGGCACATTTGTTCAGCAGCTCTGCGGCTTGGCCAACTTATAAACTTGTGATCAGTAGCCATTTGCCCAGACCCTGTGGTCGGATGGTTGTGGGATCGATCAAGGGGTGTATCCCCACTTCTGTGATACGAGGACATCTCTCCCTTTATATGGGTGGCCTAGTCTTCGGGAATGCCTTTCTGTTGTATCACAGAAGTGGATTCCATTTCCCACAGCCCTGGTCGGATAGATGCTCTGGTGATAAGAGGATGGTCAGCCGATCGGCCAACAAGATGGAGTTTCCTACAGCCGCCAGTTCTTGAGGACCCGGCACTGGGCTTTAACTTAAAGCCTTGGGCTGGACCGAATTTCCCCAAATGAAACACGACGATGCATATTGGGTCTGTCCATTTTTTGAGGGTAGCCTTTTGGAGGTTGGTTTAAAGGACACCCGAAAGGAAGCTCACCGTTTTTCGGGGGTCTCCTAAAAACCGACACATCCCCACATGGTTGAATTTTCCCAGACCCCGCAGGTTGAACACCTGTTCTCCTGGCGCTTTCGCGTTGCAGGGTTTTCTGTGGTTCCAGTGGGTCCAATAAAGTGACATCCTCAATTTGTTTGCCTCTAAAGGGTGGCTTAACGAGGTTCCCCACCCCCAAATGGAACCCTCAAACCTTTAAAGTGATCCTTAAATTTCTTACTGTCAAGGGGATCCTTTTAAAGGGCCGCCCCCAGAGCTCATTTTGAGAACCCACAAGAGGAAACCAGCAGGAACTGGAAGGTTCCAGATCCTAAACCAGACTTCCCGTTTTAAGAACCCCCCCCCATTTGGATCAAGCGATTTTCTTGCTGGTACTCAGTAAAGAATGGCGGGTGTTGGGAATGAACCGGATTCCATCATAGGAAAGCATAGGTTGGATTGTTTTTCTTGCGGTCCTGCCAAGAACGAATCAGCAAGATTATTGGAACCCAGTGTATGCGATCTTGTTTTCAAACCTCCCTACGGCTCCTCCTGAAAAAGGGTTAAGTGGAAAACCAACCTTCCACCAACTAAAAACAGCTGAACAAATCCTAAGCAGGGGGGTGGCTTCCCTATTCTGAAACCAGGGATCCTTCTTTTCGGGAACCAGCACATGATTTCGCCTTTGGAGCAAGGCCATTGGCGGCTTCGATTGCATCGTGGAGATCCCCAAGACCAAGTGGGACGTAGATCAGCCGCGGGCCGAGCCGAAGTCGTCGACGCAGTCGACGCGGGGAGGCTGAAACGTCCATTGTGGGGTGGCCAGGGTGGTTTTTGTTGGAGGCTGAGCCCTGAAAAAAGGAGCGGCGCTCTCTATTGGCTTCAGCCAAGAGGAAGCTGGATCCATTCCTTTGGGTCTACGGAAAAAAGACACACGCACAACTATGTGGCAGCCTCAACTTGTCAGGTCGAAACGAGTTGGGCATTTCTTCTGAAAGGCCCAGGAAGCCCATCTCCCAAGCTTGAGATGAGGTTCTTTCCGGTTTTGACAGGGGAACAAAACGGCGCCGGTAGTTTTAGCACGTCTACTCCAGATCAGGGTTTCTGAGCCATTTTCGCTTGTTGGGTTACCTCCAAAAGTAAGGATGGTTTCAATTGACACCACGTGCACATTGATGAACTCTTGATTCGAGGAAATCCAACCTTGAGAGGTTCTCAGGAGTGCTTTGGGATGTCTTGGCAACTCCAACCAACAGGGTGGGTTTCCTCAGGAGAGGCAGACAAGGGTGGCTCCGGATTTGGGCATAAAAAAGCCCAAGCGGCTAGTGGGACCACTATCGATCGGCACCACGATCGGGGACTGGTGGTTATCAACCCGTCAAATCGGGGTCCAGTTCATCCCCGCGAGGTGGATTTTGCCCATTCGCAGTACTCGGATTCATCCGTCTTTTGCCAGTCTTCGATTTGCTTAAGACTATTTTTTCCCCAGTTGGTTTTAAAGGGACTCTATCACTGCTGGACATATTCTTCTTTTTCCAGGGGACTTATGCAAATGGAAGCAGTTGAAGCTCAGTTTAGTCCGTGTGGCCGAGACCGACTCGACAAGTCTCTCCACTGGTAAGCGTTTTCTGAAAAGTGATCCGCATTCCATCCACACCAACTGGCATTGGGCCAAGTATGACCTTGATCACTTTTGGACACCTTCCACGTGCCTTGCTGGCTTTGTGAGAAGAGACATGTTGTGTCTTGTTCTGCTTACTCTTTTGGCACATCCTTCAACCATTTGACCTGAAAAATGACCATGTCCGCACAAGCAAGCAAACAGTTTGATCTACTCGACCCATAGACGTGCGGGGAGCAAACAGCTTCACTTTTTCCAGGTGTACGACCGAGCCAGTTGTTTTTCCGGGACAGGGTTCATTGCAGCCCTCAGCTCAAGCGCGCTTCGGCGCGCGCTTCGCCTGCCTTCGATGACGATCCTGTGGGCTCAGGAGTGATGAGCTACATGCTAGACCAATGTGGCGATTCCCTTGTTACTCACTCCCCGAGTTAGTTGCTGGATGATCTACTATAGCTTTTGTTGAGAAAGGCGGATTTTGAGTGGCAAACAAGAAGTCAGAACTTTCCTATCCCATCCACTCATGACGTGAGTTTCTTTTTTGGAGAGGATCCCGCTTCAAATTCTTCCCAGTGCCGTTTTGCCATGGAAATCCGCTGGTAGCCGGGGGGGGGGGGGGGCTTATCCCGTCTAAGCCAGTTTGCAATATC